TTTTTTTTTCCAGTGATTTTTTGCTTACTATCGGTCTGACTTAGGGCTGGCAATCTCTGACGCGATTCGGAATTTCGACACGAACCTGACACGAAATGACCCGACACAAACACAACACGCATATTAAATAGGTCGAGTTAGAGTTGGAAATTTGGACCTGTTTATTATACGGGTCGTGTTCGGATCAACCCGCCGGGTTACCCAAGTCACCCGTTTATCTATAATTTATACATTTTTTAGGGGTATTTGTAGAATTTCATAGCATTAGTAACCCTAATCTTGATAGTATATATAGCATTTATTCATTCATCCTTTTATTTTTTCTTCTCTTCACGGCCGCTGAACCAAAAGTACTACTCTCTCTTTTTCTTCAGACCGGCAGCCTCGCCGGAAACAACTATCGTGGAGGGTTTTGGCCTTTGAGCTAGGAAACAACGGCGTCACTGTGACGGCTGTGAGATTTAACCTACTTGATATTTCATATAGTTCCCGAGTAGCATGATAGATAATGAAAATTGTATTAAATTGAAAGCTAGTTAAGTTAGCATTAAACTTACAAATCAATAAAACAACAATAGAAACAGGAAAATTTAATACTTTTAGGTTAATAGATGCCAAGAAAATTGAAATGGACACATTTGATAAACTAGGACAAATTTTTTTGAGAATGCCGAAAAAAAAATAATAGAAAAAGAAGTGAAGTAAGTATTACTAATTGAAATGTATGTAGACTCGGACAAAATTGAGTCATCTTGAAGCTTGGAGTACTAAATAGAACTCACAAGAAGCTTTTAGATAATAATCAATTTATATACGTAGAAAAACAAGCATGAGCTGGCCTCTTTACCTTAATTTGCTGCTACCCATTGTCCAAGTTGTACGTGGAACATAAGCCTAGAATGGAGACCAAAATAAAAGCTTAAAAGATACACTGACTTAAGAAGGCTCTGGTTAACCGACTAAAAGAACTTTTAATTGTCTCGTTATTATAAGATGGCAAGCCAAATGGATTCGCGAGGATAAGGATTAAAACCAAAACAGAAACCAAACAAAAAAAAAGAAAGAAAAACAAGGAAGGAGAAAGAGAGCGAGAGACAGAGGGAGAAACGAGAAGGAACTAAAGGAAGTTTTGGTGTTTAATTGCGGTGCCACCATAAGCAGCTACGGTTACAGAAGGTAATTGATGCTCTCTCAAGTCCATGAATGACCTTGTTAGTAATTGATTTAGTTAGTTTGAAGACTAGGCAGTAAGCTTGAAGCTAAGAGACATGCTCTCCCTCTCTCTCTCAGGTTTATAATTTACTCTATTAAAATGAACGTTAAATCCTTGTTTGAGGCGGCTTGTTATTATCTTTATAAATTCTAGTTGCTTAGATGATCAAGTGTTGGGTTCGAAGATTACAAATAAATATGTGGTTCAGGTTGTGAAGTTAGAATCCAAACTTGAAAGGCGCTAAATAGGGGCGAATTATTGTGTTCTTGTGACTTGAATTTCGGAAACGATTTTGTGTCGTTTGAAACTGAATAAGAACCAAGGAAACAGGATTCAACTCTCTCCATTCGTGATGTACTTGGAAGTTTTAGCTACTATATTAAGAATTAAATCTACCTTATCGTTAAAGGATTAAAAGAATAATAATAAGTAGAATAAAAGGGAAGTAGAAAAAAAGAAATTGGACCCTAATGAAAGAAATTCCCTTGGGTCAGATTTAATTAGTTAAAACTTAGTAATCTAAACTTAAATTAGTACTACTTCTACATACGTACTAGGCTTTGAAAGAAAAGGACACATATGCTTGGTCCAGTTAACAAGTCTAAACTAACCTTAATAGTAAGAACAATAATAATAATATTAATACAAGAGGGAAACAAGTAGGAAGTATATAGTACATATATTTGAGCAAATTCACTTAACATTATAGTATGTCAGTTGCGTTGATTTAGTTCTAATACTACAACACCGTTAAACTCGCTTGCAGAGGGAGGACCCGAAGGTTCAAAAAGGGCTTAATAATACGGTGAGTGATTCTTACTCTTTTAAAAACTGGGAGTATGGGAATATATATTTGAAAGTCACTACACCCTGGAGCACATTTTTAAATGTTATTGATAAATGACCCGGAGGTGTACTTTATCGCCCTGGGGTATGTGTTCTATGTGGATTCTGAGTGTTATCGTATCTAAGACAAAATGATATCGTTATGTGATTGAACGTACTTGATTGAATATGATCGTTGAATGTGTTGCTTCTGGTGTGTACTTTATCACATCAGGACAACTATTGTTGCTATTGATTGATTGTTATGCAATAATGTGTGATTGTTGCTTCGGTGGATTCTGTTCACTTGGAGCCTGGGCCCTGCCTTTGTTAGGCGAAGCCTTGCGGGCCGGCATCGGGCTTGGTCGCCAGGTTAGCTTACCTAGGCTTATCGTGTTGTCCGGATGGACGCGGAACTCTTGAGTATCCAATGGTGGCCACGAGGTGTTGGAGAGGACTTGTTATTGAATCGTTATCATATTGTTGAATCGTTATCGTGTTGTCCGGATGGACGCTATCGTATTGTTGAAATCTGGCTTGGAGTCCGTCTCTGTGCCACGTAGGCTCTTTGACGGCCCTTACCAAGGTTTCTCTGTATCCACCCTATTGTTGATTGCTTAATGTGAAGTAGTTGATTATTGAATGTTTCTATGTGAATCGTTTTATATTTGAATATTGCTTTTCAAAAAGAGTGTTATTAAAAGTATCGTAGTAGTATAGTGAGAACCTCATTGAGCTCGGCGCTCACCCCTTTTTATATTTTATTCCCCTAACCCACTCCCAGGTCCGAGCGCGATGGAAATTTAGCCAAGCTACGAAATGATCGGTTCGTGAGACGGTGTTCAATGTAAATAGTTCGCTAGCCAGTTTGTGTTAAGTTACGGGTGTGTAATATAACCCTTTTGACGAGAAACATAACTCAAGCTCCCGTTTGAACTTTGTAATAATGTTACCTTTGTACCTTTATGTGATATAAAGTTTGCGGGTTTTAATAATTAATTGATAAATGAACCTTAGCGCGAGCTAGGTGGACGCCTTAACTAGACCATTTAGTTGGGTAAACCTAGGTGGCTCTAGTCAGGGTCGTCACAGTCACCGTGTGTTGTTGCTGATGATTTGGTCTTCGAGATTTTTCCCAATCTTTAGAGTGTGCTCAAAATTTTCCAATTAGACGGGGTCTTCAATTGTCTCTCAAGGTAGGTCTCCTCAATAATTGATTAAAATCAGTGTTCATCTCGGATCTATTCTCCTATTGTGTCTATGTTCTTCGAATCCCTTTTTTAAATTAATAAGATAATTTTGGTTTTGGCTCATGTGTATTTAAAAAAAAAAAATTGTATTTGTTTGTTTGCACATTGGTGATGGATCTAGGGTTAATCCCTTGTTAGCTCTGATTTTTTTTTTTTGTTGCCGATTACTTTTGAATGTTGATTGATTTGTGTTCTGTAAATGCAGGAATGTTGAAAGTGGTCACTTTGTGACAAAGCATTCGAAGAAGATGAAGATTGGGAAGCTTGTGAGGGCCTAATTTTTTATGTAAATTTTTGAATACATTCTTGGAATTGCCTTTGTAACCTTGTGTTATTTTCTATTGTATTGTGAGTTTGTAAGTTAAATTGGCAATTTGCAAAGTGCTACTACTGGCTATCATTGAAGTTAGAGTATTTGTGGTTGATGGACGGAGCTATTATTTATGTTTTGAGATTCAGGTCCTCTGTTTTTTTGTTCTATTTAGCCATTTTCTTCATCTTTGGTTCTGTTTGGTTCTGTTTTACCATTGTTTTGAATTAAAAATTTTAGTTCACGGGTTAAACAGGTCGACTCGGGTCGACCTGATTTTTAGAAGGTCGGGTTAAGGTTAGGAAATCTGACCTGTATAATAAACAGGTCGGGTTCGGGTTCGACATAAATTTTTCGGGTTCAGATTCGACACGACCTACCAACCCGAATCCGACACGAATTGCCAACCCTAGTCTGACTCGAACTCATAATCAGGTAAAAATAATAGAAATGTCTTATCACTAAAGTACAACTCATTGTCCATGTTAGTTTCTAGACCTTGTCGCCCTAGACAACATTAATCAATGGTGGAAAGATCAACTACAGTAACCGCGACTTTAAAGGGACATCTTGTCCATCAAAATTGTTTCAGGAAAATTTTAGCATAAAACTAGTATTTGGTCATTCCCTTTAATGGAGGGCAATGGATTTTGATCATCTAAATCACGGGCACCGCATCATGTTACCATGTAGTATATTCTTCTGTGTGATCCCATCCATGTTACATCACAGAATGCATGCATTAAGCATTATGTGTTTGCAATACACGGAGTAATTTTCTTTACTACTCCTTTCTTTATATGTAAGAAATTAGTTGAATTTTTCATAAACACCAAAAGAATAATTAAAAACAAAAAAAAAATGAAGGACTTGTTAGTCTCCAAAAGTATCCCTCTTGGTTTCAATGATTATACTTGCACGTTGCAACAGTAGATATACAACTTAAATACTGCAATCCTTATCGCCAGAGCTGAACATTAGTTTGTCACAGCATACTTATAATCTAGGTTACCAAAACAAGATTAGATGCCTCATAGAAAATGAATGTATTATAGAAAAGAATAATCGTATAGATAAGATCGAACAAAGAAAATAAAAGTTTATATTTTATATTTCATAAACCCTTTGGCTCATAAGTTAAGAAAAAAAATAAACTAGTACTCTCTCAGTCCCATAATTATTGTCTAGTTTGAGTTTTCATTTGTGACACAAATTGTATTAAAAGTGAAATCTCAAACTGAACAATAATTTTAAGACATAGAGAGTACTACTATATTGTACTGATATTTTAAAATTTTAAAATTTTAATTCGACAAATACGATTCTTTTGATTTGGTGGTAGAGTACTATAGTACTGTCTTTATTAATAGCATAATAAATTGTCAAAGTCGCGTCTGCGTGACTCTGCCTCAGCTACAATTTTCAGAACATGCTATAACCACCCAATTTACGAATATCAAAGAGCCAAACAAGTACATGAATGTTTTTTTTTTTTCCAAAAAATAAGTACGTAACCATTATCAACCATACATGAACGCTAGATTTCATTTATTAGAAACCAAAATTTTTACCCTAATAAATTGTTTCAGTTAGACCCAACCCCAAACACCAACTCATTGATCATGGCATTTTGATTCAATCGAGTCCAGAGAGTCTCTTTCCTTTGTACGACCCATATATAATAATTATTAGTATTTTAAATTTCCCACACTGATTCAATAAAACCGCCATTAATGCCCTTCAACAAACTTTTTCAGCTTCTTACCTGTTAAACCCTTAATGTACTAGCTCTCTTACATTTTCTTCCCTATATAACCAAAACAAAGAAAACCCATTTCTCATCATCCACACATTAAGCTAAAAATCTGAACTCTGTAAACAAAAAGAATAAACCCGAATTGAAAAGAAGAAAAATGGGTCATCGGCAGCAAAAGTACAGATTTTCTCTGATCATCGTCCCATCAGTGTTTCTGATGATGGTTTTGATGGTGGATGGTAGTAATAAAGTCCCGGCAATTATAGTGTTTGGTGACTCCTCCGTGGATTCCGGGAACAACAACCAGATTTCGACGGTGCTGAAGAGCAACTTCGAGCCGTACGGCCGGGATTTCTACGGCGGCCGGCCGACCGGAAGGTTTTGCAACGGGAGGATGTCGACGGACTTCATTTCCGAGGCGTTCGGGCTGAGGCCGTTTGTGCCGGCTTATTTGGATCCCGGTTATAATATCACTGATTTTGCTCAAGGTGTTAATTTTGCTTCTGCTGGCACTGGTTATGACAATGCCACTTCTGATGTTCTTGTAAGTACACTAGTACTACTCTGGTTATAACGTTGTTTTTTTTTATCCGTCGCATTAATATTTTTAAGCATAGATTAAGATATTTAATTTAACGCGAGTTATGGGTTTTTTACAGTTAAAATATACGATATTTAAACTAGTGGAATTGCACAATGACTTAGATTATAAGAGTACACTATAAGGGTCATTTTGAAACGCCCTATGTCATATTCTTTTTTTTGTCTTGAAATGATTATTCAATTTGAAATTTAAGAATCATTTCAGGAGATGGTATTATGGCTGAAAGTGATAGATTTTTTCTAAATTTATACAAATACACGAATGATGCCTTTTTAAGCTTTTTTTATATGAGTGTTACACGTGTGAACTTACGAATAATGCTAGCTTCATTTAAATGATAAAAACATTAGTCTTTCTTATTAAACGAAAATACATCACACGTGAATATTCTCCTGTTTCAAAACGTATGTAGCAGGAAAATATGAAGATTTGAAAATGCATATCAATTCTACAAAACTAAGACATGGTTTACCAACTTTTTTCAATCCTATTCTTGCCTTAGAAATATTAGCAGTCTTTGAGGTGGAAATGTGTTAAAATTAAACAAATTAAGGTTGGGACCGTACGGAGAATCATTTGGATGATTTTACATATTTTACTAATGTACTTATTCATGTTTTTTTAGTTTTAATGGAATACGAGTTTTTGACCAAAAGATAATTAAGAAAAATAAAAGTGGCCAAAAATAATTCAGGACGTATGGCCAAAAGTATGAATATCGGATTTTCGAAATCCGGTTTTAACTTTGGATGTGAATGAAAATCGAATTTTTGAAATCCAATATTATTCAACTTAAAATCAGTTTTTGGAAATCTGATATTCATATTGATGGCCACTCCCTCATTCTTAAACTATTTTTGGCCATTTCTATTTTTTTTGAGAATTATTTAAATCAAGCACAACAAAATTTATTTTGAAATATATAGAAGAACATTATTATGGGTTGAAGTAAATAGAGGAGCATTATTGGATGTGGGTGATATTAAAATTTGCGAATCTTTGAAGAACTTAAAACCAAAACTTTAAGTTGGTTGTGTATTGGTGCTCGATGTGTATTAAATTCAACATCAGGCTCTAGGCAAACGATTATAAATGCTACCAGTACTAGAAAACGAGCAACTTCTTCTCAGATTTTGTTTATACAAAAATAATGAAGTTGGAAAGTCCAACCTAGTGTGTCAGAAAGGATGAATGTTCAAAAATATTTAAATTGTACTAGTAGTACTATAATACAAAAACAATTCCTACGTGTTACCTATTTTGTTTGCATAGTCATTACTACTATTTCATTACCTGAGTTCTTTTTATATTTTTTTTAGAAATAGACATTTTATCTATTTGAAGATAGACAGTTAGTAGTTGAGACTTGAGAAACTGAGGAATTTGACTTGACATACAATTTTCTGAATTATGTTGCGCTCTTGGTAACAATACTCAGATCTTCACGTGATTATGTCTTTTTTCCTTCATCATTCATTTAAAAGTCTAAAACTTTGGTTGGATTTTAAAAGTTAGATGTATAATAAAAGAGCTAAATGTTAATGTTAGTTTAAAAGCGTGGTTTAAAGTACATATAACACAAAAGTGTTACAAATGATGGTCAAATTTCAGATGCTGTCAAACTCAAATCACAATATGACTAGATTTCACTGACCCATGTTCCCCCTAGGGGTAAATGTTCAAAATTGGTTATTTAATTTGGACTTTTCAGCTCATTTTGTTGCCATCAATTGCATTTGATAGTCTGTCTTAGCAAAATCATCAAATTTCATAAATCACGTTAACGGCATTATTTGGTTCTAGATTCCTACACCTGATTTATTATTATTATTATTATTTTTCTTTGACTTAATAAATTTTTTGCATGCAGAATGTGATACCTTTGTGGAAGGAAGTGGAGTACTTCAAGGAATACCAAAAGAAACTGAAAGCCTATGTTGGTGATAAAAAAGCCACCAATATCATAAACCAAGCTCTATACATAACCAGCATGGGAACAAACGATTTCTTGGAAAATTACTACACAATGAATGATCGGAGGTCCCAATACACTATTGATCAATTCAAAGTTTTCCTTCTTGGGATAGCGGAGAATTTTGTGAAGGAATTATACGGATTGGGAGCTCGAAAAATCGTCTTAACCGGACTTCCTCCAATGGGTTGTTTGCCTTTGGAAAGAACCACGAATTATTTTGGTGGAAATGGAGATGTTTGTATGGAGAGTTACAATAACGTGGCACTGAGTTTTAATGCCAAATTGGGTGTTTTGGTGAAGAAGCTGAATGGAGAGCTTCCTGGTGCCAAAGTGGTTTTGTCCAATCCATATTTCGCTTTTCTACAAATCATCAAGAAGCCCTCCGCTTTTGGTAGTATCTCGTTACATGTATTTCATTTGAGTAATGATATATATCGTGAATTTATATAGTATTACTGATATTAAAGTGAACTGATTTCATCGACTGATGTGACACAGGATTCGAGACATCAGCGACGGCGTGTTGTGCATCGGGGATGTTCGAGATGGGATACTTGTGCGACCGTTTGAATCCATTTACGTGTACGGATGCCAACAAGTATGTGTTTTGGGATTCTTTCCATCCAACTGAGAGAACAAACAAGCTCCTCACTGATTACGTCCTTAAACGTGTTCTAAATGTCTTCTTTTAGGTTATATAATTAGTTTTTTTTCATCAAAAAAAAAAAAATGTATCTGTTCAATATGTCTCAAACTCGATTTCACGAATCAGTATATGTAGTTAGGAATTTTGTGTAAAATACCATGTGTTTGTCACATTTGTTTGTAAGATGAACTTCCACTATTTTGATTTGGTTTTTGGCTTTTTGCATGCGGAGTGAAGGAGGATCGGTTACGTTGTAGTATTCGTTTTGAAGGGTTTTTTTCTTGATTAATGACTATTATGTATGATTTTGGTTTCATAGGTCTTTGAGTGATAAAATAAAAAATTAAAAAAAAACAATTCAGTAATCTTTCCATACAATACAACATTCAAGTTTGATAAACTTTTCTTTAATTTCTCCTTTCAACTCTGTCTCACACCAATATAACTCAAACAAATACCGCAAGTAATGAACTATTTACATATATATATATATATATATATATATATATCATGATCGTTAAGTTTGTTCCCCTCAAAAAAATTTACTCAGGTTGAATAAAACTTAAGCTAAATACATGTACCTATTTATTTTATTTTTTGGTAAATAAGTAACTTATATTATTCACATCTACCAAAATATACAGTACATCATTTCATAACCTACGCCAATATTACATTTCCCCAATAGTCATTTCCAAACGAGAAGAGTATTACTATTCATTATATTAATAAGTTAATACTCTACTAATTTATTAGCCCGGGCCATTGTCCAGACACCGGACACAATTTAGTAAGACGTTTAATAATAGAATATGTAATATATGAAAAGAATATTAGTGATGAGCTCTCTAAAGCGGGTTTATAGATAGAGGAAATAAATTGTTGATGATATTTTTGCTTTGAATCTGATTATTAAAAAAATTAAATATGAGAAGATAATAATTTATTCTTCACATCAAATTACTCTACAGTAGCTTTTAGATTATGATTACAATTATGGCATTCCTTCTTTTGTATTAAACCAAACCTACGTCGAAATGCTTTTGGCGTCTAGGCACAAAAATATTTTTTATGGCAATTATTTTTAATAAGTGTAAATAGATTTGTCCAAAACAAAAATCAAAATTAAGTTTTGAATTTTGTACCATACAAAGGTAATATTATATTCTAACTTAAAAAAACTTCCGGGAAAAGGGGCATTTCGAGTTGTGAATTTTGAATCGTACAAAAGTAATATTATAGACTTTTCCTTTTTCTTCTTATTATTATTATTCCTCTTAAAATGAGGCTGGATGATCTGACCCTTCTCTTACAACGCATGTACCAACTTGACAACTTACAAAACGATGACTCCAAGTTGGTTGTTTGGCCATCCGCGTTGTAATAGAACTGCCCCAAGATTAGGAAAATTTATTTTGGAGGACAATGACCCTGGGTGTTGGAAGGAAAATTTCCCACCGTAGCTACTTGATGTAGCACAGTGGCGGAGCTAGGCGGGGATGGAGGGGCACGGTCACACCTGTTCAATTTTTTGTACTTAGAAGGGATATTCTAAATTTTCAATAGAAGCTATATGTTGAATAATTTTTCACACCCCCTACATTAATTTCTTAATGTTATTAGTAGCTTTTTTCTAAATTTTGTACCCCCAATATTAATTTCCTGGCTCCGTCACTGATGTAGCATGTATAGATGTAGGATCATTTGGTCCTGGCTCTTAATAAATACTCCCTCCATCCAATAATTATTGTCCAATTTTGTTAAAATATAAGATTTTATTTTTGGTCAAATTAAACCAAATTTTAGCCTAAACTTCCAAATATATCCCTGCATACAGTATTGGTTTTACCGGTCGAAATTTAGGAAAGAACTTCTTACTTCTCTTTTTTCCCTAACCCCAAATTCAAAAATCAAATTTAAGCACAAGAACGCACATTCAATTCTTCTTTAGTCCGGCGTGTATAATCCAACCAAAATTTATGAAGAATAGATCAATTGTAGTTTCGATTCCCTCACCATTGAAATTTCTCTGATGGAGTTGAATTATATGCTTATCCAATAGTTTTGGAAAATCACAAGTCAAATGCATCTTAGTAAAATTACGTGCTTTCAATTTGTATATCATCATCAAAGGCATACCTCTAGCTTCGCCAATAATAAATTTGGCCACTGTCCGAGAAAAATCGGGAAACTCACGGCGACGGAGACGGCAATGGCGACGGAGACGGCAATGGAGACGATGGCAGATCGACCAATACTGAAGAATAAGCTTCAATCTGACAGCTCCGTCTTACTCCAATTCGTATTAATCATCTTTTTAAAAGCATTACAAGAAGAAGCTGCTCACGAATTAACGAGGAATGGAATCAAATTTTGGAATCCTCAACCATCTGAACACCTCATGCTTTCTGCCGCTCATACCCGTCGGAGTTTCGTTTTCGCCGCTGCAATTGAGAAAACCTGTATGTTTTTTACAAAAGGGTATTATTGTAACTTATCCTTTAAAAAGTCAAATCGGACAATAATTTTGGAACAAAATTTTTTTAGCAAACTAGACAATAATTATTGGACGGAGGGAGTACAAAGCATCTACTGATTTCTGGAAAAGAAAAAGAATGTACTTTTTTTTAACTATTTCAAAGGAATTATCAACGGACATATATATATATATAAATTTTAGAGTCTGGAAGTATAAATTTCTTTTCCTTTAATGTTGATAACTCCCATTCTTCAGCAGATATAATCCGTTTAAAAAATAATCTTACTGAAATTATATATATTACTTGCTCTATTAGAGTAAAAATGTGCTATCTCACATGAATTTGAGGCTTTTAGTATATTCTCATAGTATGACCTTGCTTGATATGAAGTAGCAGCATATGATGCTATATCCAAATATCTTGCTATTAAAATCCATGGGTCTTTTTCCCATTGCAGATCTGGATTATCTCGATCATATTAACTCATTATATTTCACCTCTAATAGAGGATAAAGATTTTATTCCTAGTCGTGCTTCTACCTCATATAGTGAACATCCTTATCATGTTTCTACTTCACAGGTTAGTGAACGTGATGAGAATAATCACCATGTTGATAAATTGGTAAAAAAATACCGAAAATATAGTTAAAGGTATTTATAACACAAAAGATGAAGATATAACTGAGTCAGAAATGATATTTTCAATATGAATAAGATAGATTTTAGCCCAGTTTCTTTGGCTAGACATCAAGTCAAAGAAGAGTTTAATCTTCCAAGATGGAAATTTTATAAATTTTTATCACATCATAATGTTTTATTTCCTTTTTTTCCATGATTTATATCTGTTTATGTTGAACCACACATATGTTTATTAGAAAGAGATAATAAACTCTCGAATGGAAATACGCTAAAAACACTATTTCCTCCACAACAACCTTTTAAAATAGAAAAGGAAAATAATGTTGTTATGAGTTTTTCTACATATACAAAGTTATTTGAAGATGAAACTTTGGTTATAACAGTAAAACAGATAAATAAGATAATAGAACAAAATAATTATACAGATGTTTATTTAAATATTTTAGGGGAACAAATCCTATCTATGCAAAGTAGGTTAGACAAGTTAGTACATTTGGTAGAGAATAATAGAGACACTAGTCATGATAGTGGTTCTAGCAATAATAGAGTAGATGTTGTGGCAGCACCAACTCTTCAATCACCACCTAAAATAAAAGATTTTAAATTGAAATCCTCATCAGAATTAGAGAAACTATTAAATACAAAATTTAAAGATTTAAAAATCAATACTTTAGAATAAAAATTCTCATAAAGATAAAAACGGAATAAGGATTATAAAATTATAGTAGATGATGAAATTAAATATATATATTTCGTTTATAAGGGAGTAATTTTGGTTCAATCCAAAGAAGCCAGGAATAAGCAAATGGTGTCGAAGTGATTCATCAATATGTTTATATTGGTGTCACTTTGTTCCTCATTTCAAGTTCATATTTATTTTCTCTCTATATCAAAATCTCTCTCCATTTGGGTTTGCTTCTCCTCTTTTGACTTTGATCAAAAGTCTTCTTCTTCATCTCTGTGTTCCTGGGTTTCTTTTGTTATATCTCCATTCTGATCCCTTCAAACTTCACAGACAATAAACAATGGCCTCCTCCTCCCTCCTTACTTGTTTGCAATCTGCCTTACTTGATACAGACTTGCTGCTGAAACATTCTGCCAGTGGTAAAGATCGGGAAACATGTGAATTGCTGAAAGTTATGCTGAGGAACCTCAAAGCTTTTGTTGTTCTCTGTGCCGGAGTTTTCGACGCCGACACTAATAAAACTCTGTGGCGCTCCTCGTTACGACCGTTTGAAGATATGGTTCGCAGAAATGAAGCCAATATTCACCCTCTGTGTCTCAATTTGTCCGGCAATGATGCTGAAACTGAAAGGAAAGCATTTGGTTTGGCCTCCCATTTCCAAAGCCAGATCCAGTATTCGATGGGAGAGTTAAAACAATGTTTAGTCCCTCTTTCAGATTTCTCAAGTCGGCGATCAACTTCCCTCACCCCAAATGAATTCTGCGAAATCATTTGCTGCGTATTGGAGAATATGCACTACTGTATCAGTCTCATGCCCTTATACTGGGGCGACATTGTTCGCAGTCGGGTTGAATCTTCGGCGAAAGGATTGGAGGAGCAGACCACATTCTTGAACTGTCTCCTCTGCTTTTCCCCTGAAGCTACACAAGATATGTTGGCTCACACTGTAGTAGACGTGGCTTTCGATGCTGCATCTCTCGTTTTCAAGTACGGACAAGTGTTGCGGGCTGATGAAGAAACCCGGGAAAGTTTGACATATGAGATGCTAACAGATGTGCAGGGAATGAAAAATCGTCAGCATCAACTCCATGAGACTTATTATGCTCTAACCCTGAGTTGCTCAAAGTTTCCAAGACAACCGCTTGCTCCCACTCAAGAAGGCATAGATGTTAATAATGAGGCCTTTGGACTCATCAAGAGTGTCCTGGATTATCTCATACCAATTCTTTGGAAGATACTTGGAGCGAATACCGGTTGGGCGATTTCTATGAAGGATCAACTACAGGGGCTATTAAGAGCACTTAGATCCTTGAGGGAAACCCTTCTCAAGCAGCGACATTGCTCGAGCAACAGCAATATTAAGAAAGACATTGGAGCTGTAGTATGTGATGCTGGAGTCTTGATCTACTTATTGTATGGAACAAGTACAGAAGTAGACCTTGAGATTCTTCAAGATTTATTGGAAAGCATCGAAACCATCCTGGCAGAAGTTGAGAACAACCAGAAGTAGCGCTTTTCAGCTTCCCGATGACTAATCAGCTAGGTTTCGTTGATTTTGTCATACAAAAACTGATGAATCTCACAAGTGAAGATGCTAAGCCAACACCCTACAGCGAGTGTGTTCAAACTCTCCAAGAAGAATTCGTCTCCTTGAGAGTTTTCTTGGGGAACATTGTCAAGTTGCGCCATCAACAAGAGGAACTCCAAACTCTTTGGGATCGTGTTTTGGAGATGGCATATAGAGCGGAGGAGCTCATTGACCTGTTTTTAGTGGTTGGTGATGTCCCTGATTCCTTTTCGTCGTCATTTGATTCCATCATGAAAGACTTCGCGAACATTAAGCCAGCAATCGAAATCAAGACACACGAAATCAAAGTAAATGAGGCAACCATCGCTTCTTCCAGCCATGTCGCGACACATACAACTCCCATCACAACAACCACTGAGATTGTAGGTTTTGCTGATGAAGCAAACTCAATCATAGATCAGCTGACAAGAGGAACCAAACAGTTGCGAATGACTGCCATCGTGGGTATGCCCGGCCTAGGTAAGACCACTTTGGCTTCAAAAATCTTCAATGATAGCTCTATTGTGCATTATTTTCATGTGCAGGCATGGTCCACTGTGTCACAAGTAGTTGACAAAGAAAAAGTGTTTCGGGAGCTCTTAAATCAGATAGATCCAGATATCAAATGTTCTCAACTCACCGGACAAGATTTAATTCAAAAGCTCTGGCGCAAGTTGAAAGGAAGGAGATATCTCATCGTTTTGGATGACATATGGGACGTTGAGGCATGGAATAGCCTGAGAGAATCGCTTCCTTATGACATCACCCAAAGCAGAATTCTTTTGACCAGTCGCCGTCATTGTGTTGCTCCTAGAGAGATGCTACTCGACCACGAACCTCATTTTCTTCGACAACTCAATGTGAAAGAGGGTCTGAAATTATTGCAGATAAAGTTGTTCTCTGGAGATCATGGCTGGCCTCCTGCTTTGCTTGAACTTGGAATGCAAAGTGCTGAAATTTGCAAGGGGTTACCACTCACCATCGTCATAGTAGCCGGCCTTTTGGCAACCACAAAATCAGAGGGTTGGAAGGAAATTCTCATTGATCTAAGCTCGGGCGAGTTGTCCATCACGGAACAATGCATGAAAACATTGGAGCGCAGCTATGAACACTTACCTGATGATTTAAGGCCATGTCTTTTATATTTTGGTGCATTTCCTGAAGACCTAGAGTTTTCAGCCAGGAGGTTGCTATACTTATGGATAGCAGAAGGTTTTATTGGGAAAGCTGAGGGAAAGGACATTGAAGATGTTGCTGAAGGTTATCTGAAAGATTTAGTTGGCAGAAGTTTAGTCATGGTTGGCAGAAAAAGATGGGACGACGGCGTCAAAGCATGCCGCATCCATGACTTGCTCCATGATTTCTGTTTAAGGAAAGCCAAAGATGAGCATTTCTTCCATGCTCTGAAGGGGTATGATGAGCTTTCAACATTTAATGAGCCAAGCAACTTGCGAAGGTTAAGCATTCACTCCAAGACAAAGCATTTTGAACAGTCAAGGTTGTTTTCTCCAAAGGCACGCACTTTGCTTTTCCACACCTCCCGGAATCCAAAACCACCGCACCTGTCGCTGGATATCTCGCCCGTGATCAACATCTTCAAACGTCTCAGAGTGTTGGATTTGGGGACACTCTATGTGAAAAATTGATTTCCAGGTGAAGTAGAACAACTTGCTCAGCTGGTCTTCCTGGCGATCCAAGGTTTGTTTGAGGAAATCCCACCATCCATAGGTAACCTCTCTTACTTGGAGACTTTTATTGTGCTTTCGAACAAATTACGAAATGCTAACATTGCCCGCCAATCTTTGGAATCTACAAAGATTGAAGAATCTTTACATTAGGTATTCCTATGGTGGTATGTTGCCCATAAAAAGTCTGGACGCCTTACCTGTTCTATACAAGTTGGATAGATTCTCCAGGGTGTATATTAGTGACTGGAGCATCTTAGAAAGGTTGTCCAGAAAAGTTCCCAACATCCGAAGGTTAGGATGCATATCTCCAGGGAATCAGATTCCTTGCACAATTGCTCATCCAAAGTTTTTTTAGTCAATTAGAATCCCTTTCTCTTCAATATTTCAATGCTGATTTTAGTGACTTTGGTTGCCCCAAAAGTCTGAAAAAGTTAACACTGAGAACAGGTTCTTTGTCTTCAAAGAGTATTTCAGCCATTGGTGGGCTGCCAAACCTTCTTGTCCTCAAATTAATTAATGTAAACTTCGAAAGGAATGTTTGGGAAATGGAAGAAGGGGAATTCTCAAAACTCAGAATCTTGAGATTGGAATCCCATGGCCTAATCAAGTGGACTGCTAGCGAAGATCATTTCGAACGTGTTAAGAGTTTGGTATTGAGGAATTATAAATCATTGGAAGAGATTCCTTCTTGTTTAGACTCCATCGCGACGCTTGAAACGATTGAGGTCATCAATTGTCCTGAGATTGTAGAAAATCTGGTAAGACAAATCGAGGAAATGCAGGTGGACTGCGGAAATTCAGACTTCAAGGTCATTATTCAACCCGGAAGGAAGTGATTCCTTTAGGCTGCAACATCTTAATAATTGTATCATTTCTGATTGTATTTCACATTTGAGGAAAATGCTGCATCTCAAAATGTATGAAAAATGCAGAAGAGATGTAATAGAAAAAGGGAATATGACAGGCCATAAATATGCTTTTCATCTCGAACCTCAGAAATGTTCTTCCTCATCTTCCATTTTCCTTTAAATGCAAAATCCAGTTGTTGACAATGAAGAAAGTTGGAGTGTAGCGCGAGGCATCAATGTGCTTGGGAAAGAGTTGTACTAAAAAATACAGCAAAGTAAGTTCATGGATGATGCAACAGCTTCAGTAAATTACCAAGAGGAATTAATGTTGTGAACCAGATAATCAGGGATAAATTTATTCAATTTAAAATGTCACAATCTAACAGTTTTGTTCAGTAATTGTTCCATTGCACATCAAATGCAGCTAGGGAAGCAATGACCCAGCTGTAACTGTTCATTACAAAAGAGTAGAGATCAAGTTCATGTCAGGTGTCAGGTGTCAATAAGAATACATGGGACTCGCGCTGTCGCGCATGATTCTGCAGCTAAGCCATAAAAAGTCCAGTGATCCATTCCATGCAAAACATTGCAAGTGAACAGCATCCCTTCCTCCTTCCCCATCGACAGCCAAAAAATTAGTACCAACACTAAAATAGAAGAGTAAAAGAAAAAGAAGAAGAAGGAAGAGAATAACTGCTACTGTTAAACCTACGAACTAATTGTTGTAAAATTTGCTAATATACATCAAACTATACGCGATTGGATAGCCAAATCGATCTAAAATTGATGCCACCTACAAGTTTTTTAAACATCCCTAAATCCACAGGGGCCAGTAAAAGTAAAGTGTGAGACCTGTTCATATATAAGTATCTGCTTGGCCGCTCGCAATGGCTGCATCCTTAGCCACCGTTTCTGATGTTTTTCGGGCAGAAGCTTGGATTGGTTTATTAAGTAATGCATGGCCCTTCGCTACATTCTCTGATGTATGTGCAGTATTTTCAGTTGTCCTAGTTGATCTCTTTAAGATCCTGAGTGGCCACTTTCTGAGTTTCATTGTGCCAAATAACGCTTGATGCCTTTTTAAGAAGGCTAGGGGCCATTGCCTTGGTTTTATGTGCCCAAGTAATTTCATTTGTTCCCTTTTGAACTGTCGGGTTGAGTACCATTTTCCGCCGCGCCAACCCAGAAAATACCTGCAAACAACACCAATTAAAAGAACCATTAAAAACAGGAAAGAGATCTGATAACATCTTCATAGTGAATGCAGAGTAGAGTTTACATTAGCTATTACAGATTCAATCATGATGTAAACAGAATCATCTTCGTTTGAACTTCAATAGTGATGCCTATTAATCAAGAGGTATTCTCTCAACTAGTCGTTTCTGGTTTTTTATTGAATTGCATTAATTTCGTTGGACTTTCTATGTTTGCTTCTGGTTTCCATTTTGTGCAAACATTGTGAAGAAAGATCGGAATAGCTCGAATTTCTTTGTATTTTGTGAAACAAAAAAACTCTCACATTTTGGATTAAAAAGTTAGACTTTTAAAAACCTTCTGAAGAGCCCATGGATTAGAAGCAAAAGTTAAAAGAGACTCTGCCCGCAGGAAGACCATAAACCAAACTAACAAATACCAACCCCTTCAAGATACCATAAGCGAAATATTGCAATGTCTTCTCATTGCTCGCACAATAGAATGGGTAACAGGCACAACTTTCATATTTTTCATTATAGAGAATATTTCTGGAGAAGATATGAAGTTAGAGTTGAACCCAAAGAATCAACTTACCCGATGCACAATGTAGTTCCAGCTGTCGCAACACAAGCAGGAATACTGACAGAACTTCTAGAAAGCTTTTTAAGCTCCAAATCACTAATCTCATATTTGCTTTTGATCTGGGAAAAAAGAAAAACCAAAAAGGACAGGTTTCAGTATACGATTGAGACACCAAACTGAAAGACATTGCCATCACAAAAAAGAAATCTGATCAAACCAAAGTATCAAAAGAATGTAAACTTAAGCCTTTTCAATATTGAACCAGAGTATCAAAAGAATGTAAACATAAGCCTTTCTCAACATTAAGTAAATCTTCTACTTAGAAACAAATTGTTTGGATCCCAACATATGATGTTGATAAAGATATCATTTCATTCGAGCAGTCTAGGTAGCAAGAATACTAGGAACAAAAACAAGTCTTGAGCAACTACTTACACCACTTTCTATTCTCTCTAGCCTCTCCTCAACCCTTGTGTCATGAAGGTGACGTAACGTATAACCTACAATGTCAGCACATAACAATTAATCAAAGAAAAAAACAAAATCTTCAGTGTAAAAAGTGAAGGAATGCTCATTATATTCTTATCAAACTTGAGAATACCAAACCAAAGTTTTGAAATCAAGTTCTTGTGCAGCAGATATACACTTAAATAACAAGTAAAGAGAAAGGAAGAAGAAAACAGAAGTACAAAAAAAAAAAAGTTGTATCAAACTAATCCATTCAGGAATTAAACACTATAAGCAAACAAAAAATGCAAGGGTTTCTTTCAACTTTTTTCTTTGATTTGGGAAAATAGGGTAGTAGGAATTCAGTATAGCACCCTCGAGAGTAACCATCCTCATTCGTTCGCCAATGTTAAAACAGCTTCTCTCGTCTCTCTTCCTTCACCGATTATCTACAATACTAATATATCAAAAGTTCTGAATTTCTAATCCAGTTGATTGTAAGCAATCCTTGCATCAACCATTAAGACGCTTCTTCTTTTCTAAAAAATTGCTTTGGCAGAAAGATATGTATGTTCAACATAAAAGCTACACGACGCCCCACTAGGTTGGATGAAGGCCTCACAGCCAACTCCCCCACATATTTCTGAACAAAAAATTACATAGATAAAAACAATATCATCACGAAGACACCAGGCTTTATCATGGAGCATCTGGTAGTTCTACAGAATTAAGAGCCCTCCAAAATTCTTTTCCAATGTCTTTTAGAACTAAAAACATTCTCATAGCGGGGGATTCTAATGTCTGCTTTATCCAATTTCATGTTATGGATATCATTCTTGCTATCTATTCATAGTTTAATACTATGTATTAGTGAATGTCTCATTGACAATATGATATTGTTCAAATTCCATTGAGCATGTTACAGCAATCTGGCAGATGATGAATACGTGGATTGTCCTCCACCAAATTAGCTACATTAGACGGATGGATTAAGGTTGAGGATTGTGACTTCATTCTTTAATTTGGGCAAAATAATACTCCGCTTTGTCTCGTACTTCAAGACACATACCTATTTGAAACTTTTTGAACAAACTTCTCCTATCATATTGCAGTTCAATGTCAAATTATTTCACAACCGTCAAAGGTAACTGCATGATTGAATCCAACAACTCAACTCTGAAAGAGTGTAAAGCTGAACATCAGAGCTTATGTTACTGTAAGAACCCCATCTGAAGCTAAAGTGAAATTAAATCACCGGTATCACTTTCTTATATTCCACATCACCAAGATTGTAGCAAGGAAGCAATAAACACCACATAATCTTCAATCAAAGAATCCGAGGGCATTAAAATTTTTAAGCAGACACCAAAGAGCTAAAAGCAGGAGAAAGCAAAAGCGCATACCAATCCATCCAGTAGCCACAGAAGCAAAAGAAGTTGCAACCGTTATTACCACCTTATGGTTCTCAAATATCTCCTACAAAAGAAATTTACAATCAGGAAACATAAGTAACAAAATGTTGTTTTGCACTAATAACATGCAGTGGTCGCCATTTCCATTTGATTCTTTTGATCTTACAATCTTACAATCTAAAACTAGCGAGTCTACGACCCATATGCAAAAATGAGCCTTCAACAAATACAGAGTAAGATTTATCCCGCATCTTGAAGCTTTGACAGCGTCAAGAAGGCATCAGGTTTTATTGCCACACAACAAAAATAAGTAATGACGCTAATTGAATAACTTCAACATAACATATTCAAGTCCTTTACAAATACGGAATTCATCTTCAATAAACACTAGGTATCGATCATCCCCGGAATGACAATTCTGTGAACACAATATTCGAATTTTCTGCAGCTCAAAGAAAACAATCACCCTGAACTTTAAACCCTTAAACCCAGAAACCAAAAGCAAAATCAAAATAAAAAACATCCCAAACAAATTGAAAAGCAGAAGCAAGAGATCCAACCTTGGCTGAAAAGTAGGTGTCTTTCCAAGCAGACCATGAATGGGCCGCTTTTCTTCGTATCTGAGGCATCGTAAAATACTGATATACGCTGGAGCCAGAGCTACGCAATCGGTTCAAATTTCTCGACATCTTCCCGCCAAATGTTCTTCACAGAAAAACCCTTTTTTTCAAATTGCAAAATTTGTTCTTTGATCGGAAAGAAGCAGAGAAGACACCGATACGCTGCGAGGACTTGGCGAGACCAGACGAATTGACTGCCGCCTGAAGGAATGGCCAAAAGCCTCCGGGAATAATGAGCTCGAGTGCATCACATTCACCGGCTGAAATTACCAAATTAACCTATAATTTTTAAGAAAAGTGTTTTGCAGCTTTAGTCATCATATGATTAGAAAGTTTCAGTTTTAGTCTCCCCTTTTCTCAGAAATTACATTTTTCCCAATACCAGGTCTTTCAAAAAAATATGCGGAGTTAATCACTCAATTCAAGGTGAATGCATAGAATGTGTATAGATCTGTTTAGCACTGATGTGTATAACACCTTCATAAAACTTCTCCAATCGACGCAACAATACGTACTCGGAGAAGATTTGAAATTTTTTAAACAAGAGATAGATTGACAAATTATTTTAAACAAAAGCAGCATAAGTATTGTTATTGATTTATTAAGTACATGTTCATGACTTCTCAGGATAGGAGAGAAGGAAGCCCTTGGCAAGGGTTATAGATTGAAAAGAGACAAGGAAACATAATAGTTTTGATCGCTTGCGATTCGCATATATTAATCGTGTGGTGAAATTTGCGTATTTTATGTTTATATTTACGTTTAAAAGCATGTTTGCTTCTTTAAGAGTTTAGTTTGTAAAATTATTTATTTTTTAGGTAACACATGTTTTAGAATATATCATTATTCGCAATGATAACATAGAAAAAAAAAATACACGTTCAACTAATTAAATTAGGATGTATATTAGAATAGATGAGCATTCTAGATTAATGAATTTGAATAAAATAAAATGAATAAAGAAGGGTGGGAAAGTTATCTCTAACTACACATGAAAATTATCACCTAGCAAAAGAGAATAAAAGAAGGAATATTTTTAATAGAAACACAGACAAGTTAAACTATTTTATAAAGAATTCTTTGTTCAATTACCATTCAAATCGAAAGGAAATGCAGATCCGCTCTTATATTTTATGACAAGTCTTGGACCCAATAACCTTACCAACACACAAATCTATGCAATACTAGGATCGATAAGGTGAACAAAAATCATAAAAATCATGGTGAACTTGGGCGATATGATTGTGCGCCATTTAGGAACACCACACTTAGCTCACGAGGCTAAAAAAACATTTTGGCAATATGTAAGGTACTAAGATTAAAGATTCACTTATATTTTTTTTCTGGTTTGTTGGATGGACAAAAATAATCACACAAAGGGGCTTTCTTTTATAATCTGTAAAACCCTGTGAAGCCTCAAGCCGGCTATGGCATATTCAGCCATACATCATCAGATTTCCGGCATGTCTCCTGCCGTTTCTCTCCCCGTTTGCTTCCACTAACCAACTCCACTCAAAAACTGAAGTCAAGAATGGCTTCTCTCCACCACTCCCTCTATGTTCCGAAACCTCTGTTTCACAAACCTTTTTTAATCCCCTCATATCCATTTCCTAAGCTTCCTTCCAATTCCGGCAAGTTATTCCTCCTCCGCCAGAATTACCGCCTTCTATGCTTGCCTTCAAGGCCGCCGACGTCTATGTCCTTTACTGCCGACGACCACCAGCAAATCCTCGAAGCGGTGGCGGACTCCAATGAGGAGGTTCTTCCTGCAGTCAGAACTTATGAAGACAGCTCCGCCCGGCTTACAGTTGTCGGCGCTGTTGAATTCCAGCAAGCCCTCACTGCCGCCGCTGCCGACGGCGGTCGAGCTGCCGACCAACATATTTTGGCTGGGTTGCAGGCCATGGTCGTTGAGACCATCTTCCCTGGACCTCCTGATGAAAACAGCACTCTTTCCACTAGGCTTGTAAGTATTGCCTAGTACATTCATACTTACTAAGAAGTTAAATTTTTTCCCCCCAATTTGCTAGCATAATATGATGGCATTGACAATATAAAACTCCCTCGCACTTTCAATAGAGGAACTTCCCAGTCCTCACATTTTAAATTTGATGAACAAGTTTAGTACATGTTACATAAGTGTGTTTTATTCTGATCGGTTAAAAACCGGTTTTATCTGTTAAAACGGATGGAAAGAGTTTTGATTGCTTGCTTTGTTTTGTGATTGTGTACTGAGTGATTTCAGACTCTAATGAAAGTATAAGAGATGCATTTAGTGGAAGAACACTTAGAAATCTTCGCGAAAGTGGGTATTATAGTTGAGGAATAATCATTTTCAATCCAGTTGCATAGTCATTCGAGGTTATATGGAACAGGCTTTTATTCGAATTCCCAATTTGACTGAATTGAATTCTTTTGCAAAGAAATTTTGAACAGGAGTTAATCCCCCCCCCCCCCTCTTTTTCCTTTTTTTCTTGGTTTTATTTCCCACTCTGCCAAGCTGAAAATTTTAAATTGTAGGCTGTTGCCAACATGCTCTAATCATTAGCAGCAGCATAACATTCTTAATTGATTCCCCGAGGATAAGCGTTTTCATCAGAAGTGTTAAAGGCAGCTTTTAAAATGTAAGAAGCTGTTAACATGCTTAAATCACCAAAGAAAAGAATTTTTCTCAAAAGAATTCTTACTTCCTTTTCTTGCCTTTTATGGGAACTCCAATGTGTGCTTAAAATGGAACTTGTCAGCTGCATAATCGAATTCTAAAGCGTCTAAAAGCATAAAGGATAAGCTTTCCGTCATTTTGAATATGGCTTTTGTTGCTATTTCTATTCTACCCTGGTTTTGTTTGCTTCTTGTTTCTTCTCTGTCTCCTTTCGAATGAGACACAATACACACGCTTATAATGTGATTTCTTGTTATCTCCCTAGTTAAGGTCCTTATCTTGGTTATGGACGGGTGCCTGTTATTGTTGTGCTCTGTCTGTGTGTATGTATTATTTCTTTTAAGTATTTCCAGTATCCACATTGTTGGTGCCCAAGTCATCAAATAATTCGTCCATAGTGAAAATTAATGTCTGCTGTTTTGTCATCAAGACTAGAATATTCAATTGTCTATTCTTTATTATGAAAGTGTGAAACTCAGCTGCAACAACTTCAACCTGATTTTCTGGCTGTAACTCTTCTGGTTTTGCTTATGGCAGTTTTTACCAGCTAGGAAAGTAAAAGCAAAAGTTAAGACTCTTAAAGGGTTCATGGATGATGATCTTATTTCTAGCACAACATCCGAGAACATACTTGCTATGACGTTTAGGCAAGTAGTTCTGCGACAACTTTGGAGATTTGAACTCCTTTTATTTAGACCTGGAACAGAAAGAAATATGAATGATCTTGAAAACCCCAGAGAGGTCAGTTGAACTCTTTTTTCTCTGTTTTTATATTTTGTGATTAGGCATCTCTTCTGTTGTTGAATACCATATCTGATATGTCTGCCTCTTACATGGGACAGGCATGTCTTTGCCTGTTGAGCAGGTGCCTCGTGATACTGATGGACTGAGTTCTCTTATTACTTTCATACCGGCAGGTACCTGCAATGTTTAGCATGTCTTCTTGTGATGAACGTGTTCTTGCCGTGCTTGCTGAAGTTATATGCTCTTCTGCTCTTGAAGGCATTGAAGGACATTTCGGTGTTGACTCATTGAAGAGGAAATCAAACAAGTTTTCCGAGTGGTTTCAAAAGCATAAAAAAATTGTCTCAAAAGACTCGTCTATTATTGTGCATAAGTTGCATGAAAAAGAGATTCTTTCAAATGTTAAAAATCTTCTGGAAACTTATAACGCGGAAAAGTTTGAATCTTTGAGATCCACATTAAACAACTCTTGGTGGAAGCTGCCTTCATACTCTCAACTTGAGAAAATTGGCGGATCTGAATTCACTGCTTGGATCAGCGAATATATCCCGTTATACCGGCTGCAAATTGATGTTAACAAATTCAAGGATGTGAAGCACACAGGGGGCAAGTTTTCAGCTACGAATATGTGGGAAATTCTCTTGACTCACTCTCAAATGGTAATTAACCTTTGCTTATGGGTATTGAATATTTGCTATTGGGAAAATGCTATTTGAAGAAAAGGATTGAGAATTAGTGTTGAGCTTAAAATTTTGCTTTTGGGCATCTTGACCAGTCATCTATTGCAATTTCTACAAAGATATAGCAATTTATAGGTGGTCACAGAAGGAAATGATGATATTTGTTGATTTATCCAAATGGGTCTGTAAATAAGCTTCTTTCTGTTGACAGATCCAACACCTAGATGTATCCATACTGTGGTCCATGTAACATATATCTAGTCAACTAGTTGACAGAGTTCCTAATATCGGAATTTCCTCTTTTTTATCTTTAGTCAACTAGTCAATTGGGAATGTTTTATTAGTTTTTATACTTGTGATAGTTGATTCAGACTAGTAATTGGTGCTTACTGAGTTTTCATTTAAACTGGGGGAAGGTAACTGGATTCTGTTTCACTGATTTATGTTAAGTTCAGGAGGTCTTTGTTCGAATTGTCTGTTGTTTAAATTTGTTTTGTTTACAAGATTGGAGGAAAATATTTTCGTGTTTGTGACAGTATTGAATTGCCTGTACATTGTGTATAAGATGCAACAGGTGTCACAATTTTTGAAGTTCTTTGCTATATTTTCTTGGTCCATTTGCTGGTTTATGATGAGAATTTTGTCTAGTATTAATGTTTGCCCTGACTACTTTTGCAGGTTAGTCTGGCCAACATTCTTGATATGTTCTATGAAGATGATTTCACTTTGCCTGCTAAAGAATTGTCGTCTGGTGCAGTTATGGAACTGTCCAACATAAGCCATAGCAAGGTATCAAATGCATTATCTAATACGTTTTAAGATACCTTCTGAGTTGGCACAATGGACAGTTAATGTTTAAGTTTTTGGTAGCAGCAGTTACGATGTTTGAATCTTTGCTCAGAATTTATTGCTGTTGTTTTTTTTTTTAAATTTAATGCAACAATGATACCTTGAAAGGAGATGTCAGAGGCAATATTCAGTTGCACACCCCGCATTTTTCTTCTCTACCCCTGTGGCGTGTACTATAAAGCCTGTTTACGTACTGGTAATTTTTGCACCAGTTCGTAAGTTTCAATTTACGAGAGTCCAAGTGGACCAGTGGATCCACTCCTGTTAAAACTGTGTTTTTCTCGTTTTCCATGGTTAATTTTGTACTGTCGATCTGGAAGCAGTGTAAAAAGAGTTTGACTTGTTTTATAGATATTAGTGAGTGGGAAATATTTATTGTGCTAATGCTGTCTTCTTTCTTTTTTCACAGAGCAACAGATCCTTTTTCAAACTATTGTCAGCCACCATTGCTGGTGGTCTTTTCATTGTTACCCTTACCATCATGAGCCAGCTTCGGTTGCCCAGTCTCCCTCGATGGAGGAAATATTTTGGCGCTGACAGCCCTCTTCAATCATCTTCTGTTAGATGCATACAGCCCGAGTCCTTGGAAGATGTGAAGGTTTGTCTGAAATGGCCAACTATACTTGATCTTCTCGTCCTTTTTACGGCTTTTTCTTTGTTGTCTATAAAGGCTGATGACAATTCAGGATGTGTGGCAATTATTGTTCGGGGGATGCCTATGTTGCCACTTTGCCATCATAGCCCTGAAAATTGTCAATTGTGTGCTGTATTAATCTGGCTGCATCTCTGACCGGCTTTTTTTCAGTTGGACTTTGTCGGCCAATTGAGCCCACAACTTATTATCATTCTCCAGTTTGCTGGATAGGACAAACAGCTACCTTTCTAGTTAGTACCTGGAATATATCGATTGAATGCACCTGATCTAAGATGGTTATAAGAGGGAAACATGTGGTATGATGGGAAAGTTAGATAATGAAGGTCCTTTTGCAAAATGGATAACTTAACTGCAACCTATATCAGTTTGACAATATCCATGTTGCAATTTAACCTGGTGTTTATTTGTCAGTTTGTCTTTTATCATCTACTTGTGAATAACGAGTTGTTTTCCTATTTCCATATTTTAATTTTTTCTTTCAATTACAGTTTGTAGATTACTGCACCTCCGTTATTAGGAAAGTCAAGGACTCATTTGGTTGGCCTGGAGAAATTAGAACAGAAGCCGGTCTTTATGCCTGGACCGGAGACCTCCCATTGTACTTGAGGAAAATGTCTGAAAATGGCTCAACGACTGCGGATGTTTCCTCCAGTGGCACAATGGTAGGAGAAGGACCCGAAGATATCAGAGCATCCATGCAAGATATTGCAAGCTATCAGGTCACTTTTCTGAAAACTATCCTCTATCTTATAGTTTTTAAAGTTTAGATAGTTCTTGGAGAATGTTCTCATAAGCCAGTTAGGTTTTGTCCTTTAGTTTTTTCCTAATGCTGTTTGGGTTTGGTATGTAGGTTGTACTGTCCAATGACAGGAAAATTGTTGGATTTCAACCCACTAGTCGCATGGCTGTTAATCACTGGGCTTCAAACCCCTTAGCAAAGGAATTGTATGCGGGAAGAATTCTTTCTCCTGGTAAATCTTGATACTCTCTTGTAATGCTTCAATGCTTGAGTAGATGATATCATCGGCCCCATATATTGCGTCTATGATCTTGTTTAGGTTTCTTTCTTGAAAAAAATTCAAAATTTAGTCTGGCATCTTTGTTTGGAGTTTTACTTGAATTTGATTTAAGGTCAGACGGTATTTGGATTTTGATATGTGATAAATTCAACGTATTTGTTTAGATAGATTTGCATATGGCAGCTGTTTTAGTCTTCTGTTAACCTGGTCCTATATCAACTAATTGACTTCCGGTTTTGGTAAACATTCTAAATCGAGGCAGATTGAAATTGAAAAACAGAACACATTTTGGACTAAAGTGAACTTATTTCTAGCAAAAAGACAACAGAATTGAGAGGCTAAAAGTTTAGGGACAAATGAGGTGTCATTTTTGCTTGCTAATTTTTCAACGCATTGATTCATTTGTGGTATGTCTTGCAGGTCTAATAGAACCTGGTCTGAAGATCCCTCAACTAAACGAAGTAGTAGTGTTGGAATTGTTAATGTCAGCAAATTCTGGTCCTCATTTTGCATTTGTTAGACCAGTTGATATTTCTTGAATGTTTTATAGAGAAAGAAACTGATCAGACAGTGAGATCTTCTCAGCTATATATGTTTGGGTTGGATAAAGTTGAGCAGATCAATTTGGGTCTTTTCAGGGTAGAAGATGCCTTGGACATTTGTTTGTAACTAGTGCTATTCTCCTTTAAGCTTGTACAGAGTAGACGACGTTGTTGCAGGAACACGACGCCGTTTTTAGCAGAACTGACCCGAGATAGTGTAACACATTTGTTTGAACTCATCTTATCCTCCTTGTCACGGGAAGATTGATGAAAAAGGAAATCAAGTTTAGGAAGTTGTTGGTGTTTAAGATATTGGTGTTTCTGTACATGCTAGTATTTCTTTAGCTGAGACTTGAGAAGGAAATTTATATGATGAATAGGTTTTAAATACCAATGTTGTAGTAACCGTTCATAGAAACGACACATATATTCTGAACCATTTGCGTAACCACTACAATGTAGATACAATTCCGTCACCGATACGGATGGAGTAAATAATGAAATTCTGGTTTCCAATCTACATATATTTGCAAAAGCGACTTCATCTGAATTCAGCCAGTTGATTATGACCGAAGCATCACTGAATTGAGTGATTCCAGTTACGGAAGCCATTAGGACAGCCTCTCTCGCTGCTAGGGCTTCAATCACCTTAGGACCGAAGAGACCTTGGTAACTACGTGCATAACCTGAAACGAAGCCAGTTGAACAATTCCAAATAATTAGAACTCCCGCAGCAGAAAGCTTCAAATCCGGGTTAGCAGCACCATCGAAGAAGATACCATATTCCTTGCATGAAGGCAAGAGAATTTTTCAGTTTGCAAAGCATTTCTTCCTTCCTTGGAGGACTGATCTCCAGCTGAAAGATGGTCTGGGGCCAAGCTTAGCATCCATGAAATCATCATTTGGTAAATACCGAGCTTTTAAGGACACTAAACATCAGCGAACGGTGATCCGTCAAGAGCCGCCAAGCTTGCGTCCCAAGAAGACCTAGGTTAAACAGTTTTAAATTTTTCAAAGGCTTCTTTTCCCGCTTGTCAAAGTCTTTTTTCAGCAAAGCCATCAAATTCTTGAGCGAATTCTGTCACTGAAAATTTCCCCTTTTTTCTTCCTCCCAACCACTGAGGGCAATCCCAAGTATTTTCCATGTGACTCTACTCTTTTAACATCAAGTCCTGTGGCCAGCATTGTTGCTATATCATCCGGGGTGTTTGGACTGAATGTATATACAGCTGACTCATCCAAGTTGACAGCTTGGTTTCTAAATTCTAACTATTACATCGATTTCACAAATACGATGATTTTTTATTTATTTATTTATTTATTTTCTTCACGTGAGTGCTTCAACATATATATTTTGAGTCATTTTGAATCAGAGAGAATACTATTTCTCAGAAATTGATTGTTCCATTTCAATTTAGGGGTATTTCCCAAAAAAATTAATTAAAATAAACGTGGACAAATTTGAAATTTTTCAGAATATTAGTGGACAGAAATATATCTCTCGAATTTTCGAAATCTAAGTTCTAATTAAAATTAAAGATTCTGATTTCGTAAATCCGAGCCTATATTTAATAATAAAATAATAATTAAATAAATTTTGTTGAATAATAGTTTTTAAAAATTCTTAGATGAACAGTGCCGTTCGGATTTCTGGAATCTGAATTTAGTTAAAAAATAATAAATTGAGGCACGAAATATTTGAACTCAAACAAGGAGTCTAGGACCTGGACTCCTTAAATGAACAGTAGTACTCGGATTTACAAAATCCGAGTGTACAAAAAGAAAAAAGAAAAAAAGAAAATCGAGGCGCGAAATTTTTGAATCCAAAAACCGGAAGTCCGTAATCCGGTTTTCTATATTCGGATTTTGGAAATCCGACTGCCTTTAATTTTGGTTGGTGGAAGTAGGTATGTGCCATAAATTGGAGGACCAAAAAATAAATAAAAAAATCCGGAATTGACCAAACTCGGATTCAGGAAATCCGAGACCACGGTAATTCGGATTTCTAAAATCCGAGTTACTTACGGACTCGGATTCCGTAAATATGAGTTTAACGTGCTATAAAAGAAAAAAAAATTCAGACAGTTCTCATTCAAGAACTAAGTTGGATTTTCTGTTTTTGCAGCTCAAACAAGGGCGAATTGGAGCTTTTGATGCATTCTTACCTCTAGATACGTGAGAATTGTTATTTGAAAGAGGTTAGATTGCAAAACCATGTTATACAGTTTAGTTTTGTGTTATTTTGATTGTTAGAATGATGTATGATAGATTAGGGTTTATGTTGGTTGGTTGTTTGGATGTTTTAGGTGTTGATTTTGAGGTTAGAGATGGAAATCATAGTTATTTATGAGATATGGAAGTTGATTTATAAGTATTTTAGTATTTTATAGGTTTTTTGAATTATGAATGGAGTATGTATGGTGTATTTGTTGATTTTGTTATTAAGAAATGATTAGTTATTAATATTTTTTTAACAGTTATCAATGGCACGTAATGTATCATACATGCTTAATTTGTATCATACAAGCAAGTATGTGATAGAGAATGGTAGCATCAACACTTTTTTGAATATGCCGGATGATGGTTTGTTTGTTGAGGAAAGGTTGTCATATGAGGGATTGATTAGTAAGATTTGTATGACACTTGGTTGGGATCCAGCACACGTGAAACTCTACCTTTCTTTGATTTTCGATAGTCCCGGTGGTAGGCGTGTAGTGAAGATCAAGAATGATTCACATGTAGAGTTCATGAACCGTGTAGATCCAATGTCATGTTTGGATTTATACATAGATTTGGAAGATATCACTCAAGAAGAAAGAGAAGCGAGTTTGGAAAACGTGTCATTTGGTGGTTTTCCAAGGGGGAAACGTGCTAGTACTTCTCAAAACCGTGATGAAGAGGAGACACCTTTATTTGCACAAGATGACTACCGGGAAGAGTCGGATTCCGACTACATAGCTCCAAGTGAAAGCGAAGAAGACTGTGATGTCTCCGGAGAGAGTGATTTTAAAGAAAGTGATGATAAAAGGTTGGAAAATAAGGAAAGGGATTGTAATCCATTGCCCCGACGCCATGTATATAGTAAGATGGGGAAATTGGATGCCTCATATGTGGACAAGGATGAGTTTGCTCTTAAGATGTGGGATGAGACGCCCGAAGGAATGGACATTGGTGTTTGTTTCAAATCTCAATCAGAAGCAAAGCATCTTTGAAATTATGGAACATCCATCATAAAAGGGAATATACGGTCACCGCGAGTAGTCCAACGATGTGGGCTGTGCGGTGCAGAACATTAAATGTGGAAAGTGAGGATGGTGAACCACCATGTGAGTGGAAGATGCGTGTGTCTTTGAAAGCTCACGGCCTTCATGAAATTGTGAGATGACATGATGCACATAATTGCATGACTCCCGTGAATGATAATGACAATCGGTGTGTGGACGCGTCTTTGATTGCTAGACTCATCAGGAGAAAGGTTGAGGACAACGTAGATTATAAGGTAGCCTCGGCATAGAAAGATGTGAAAACCTTATTGAAAGTAGATGTGCCATACAAAAGGGCGTGGCACGGGAGGAGGAAAGCCATAGAAGCGTTCTATGGTGATTGGACCTCGAATTTCGAAGAACTTCCACGGTAAATATCAAGGTTTATTCATGTATTGAAATATTTTTAGTGTTTTTTTTTTACATGTATTGAAATATTTTAACTATGACTTGTTTGTTGTGTAGGTATATGACTGCGCTTAAGTTTACTAATCCTGAGACTGTAGTAGAGTGGGAAAGGAAGGAGGGACAAGAAGGTTGGAACAGGGGAAATAAGACATTTAAATACGTCTTCTGGTCATTTGCACCAGTGGCTGCGACATTTTTTGAATGTCCACCGGTCATTTGTATCGATGGAACCTTCTTGCGTGGTAGATACAAGGGTCAACTGCTTGTTGCGGTGGTCTATACCGCAAACAAGCACATTTTACCGGTTGCATTTACGATTGTGGATGAGGAGACAGTAGAGAGTTGGACATTTTTTATGAGGAATTTGAGGTTGTGGGTTGTGTGTGATAAAATCGTAAGTGTGATATCTGACTGGAATGCAGGGTTGTTGAGCGCAATGTTACAGATGGATAAATGGCGTGATTTAGGTGATGGTGGCCACTTTCTCTGCCTCTGCCACGTTCGCAACAATCTTGTGTCGCGATATAATAGCAAAAAGGCAAAGCGGTTATGTTGGAAGATGGGCATGATGCTTTCAAGAGTGAAATACAACCGTATGAGGGCAGAGCTTATTAAATTCAAACCTGCTGCATTGGAGTATCTTTGAGGGATTGGAGGGAGTAACTGGGCTCGATTGAAAGCCGAATTTCGCCGTTGGGGCATAGCGACAACCAACATTTCTGAGAGTTACAACAATGCGTTGAAAGGGATCCGTTTTTTACCAATTAGAGCCTTGATCGATGCAACCTTTCGCAAAAATGTAAAATTCTACAAAGAAGAACAATTGTGTGTGAGAAATTACATGACACCGATCCCTCCTGAGTTATGGAAAAAATACGAGAAAATGAACGACAAAGCATGTTTTGGGATTGTGCAAAAAAACTCATTTTAAGGTTGTCTAAAGGATTGGGATTTCCGCAATCCGGAAGTATGCGTTTTGTATTACGTCCGGATTTCAGAAATCCAGAACCGGACCGATTTCCTGTAGCAAAGCATTCGGATTTCCGAAATCCATGTTTATGAACTTTGTACTATGTTCGGATTTCGAAAATCTGCATTGGTGAAATCCATCCGAGAGTGTGTAATTTGAGGAGAAATAGGGGAGATTCAGATTTTCGAAATACGAAACAAGACCGATTTCCTGCAGCAAAGTACTCGGATTTCCGAAATCCGAGTATATATAATTTGTACTACGCACGGATTTCGGAAATTCGAATTGGTGAAATCCGAATGTGCAATTTGAGGAGAAACAGGGGAGATTCGGATTTCTGAAATCCGAATATAGTAGTTTCGGATTTCAGAAATCCGAGTTTGACGGGACTTTATATAGCCAGTCAACTCTTCCCCCTCCCATTTTTCCCCCAATTCTCCGGTTTTAAAAACCCTAACTCTTCCCCCAATTCCCATCGGCGACCCTCTCTCCCATCAGCGACCCTCTCTCCCACCGGCGACCCTCCCTGGAGCTCTCCTCCTCCCTGAATTCCGGAACCGGCGACCCTCCTCTCCTCCAGGCGAATTCCTCCGGAACTGACGACTGCACTCCCGGCCAATTCCTCCGGAACCAGCGACACCTCTTCTTCCGGCGACTCCCCTTCCTCCGACTCCCTCCACTCCCGTCGACTCCCTCCTCTCCCGGCGACTCCCTCCTTCTCCCGTAAGTTTTTTTCTCTTTAATTTTTTTTTTCATTTTTTTTTGTGAAATCCGAATATATTTTTTTTTCCTAATGTGTATTGTTGTGGTGTGTGAATTTTGAATTGGTTTGTGCTGTATTGATTAGTGAATTGTGTTAGTTTGTGAATTGTGTTGTATAGTTTTGTATAGTTAAAACCACAAAACGTAGTTAGTTGTGTTGATATAGTGTTTGTGTTGGATTTGTATAGTTTTGTGAATTGTGAATTGTGAATGTTAGTTGTGTTGATATAGTGTTAGTATTTTTTTCCCGGATGTAGTTAAGCGGTGCTAAGTAGTTTAGTTTATTTGGAGCGGTGAGTATATATGTGGTGCATTGTTGTTGTGCAATATGTAATTGGGAAATCCGAATGTAGTATTATTATTTTTGTGCATATTAGTGTGGTTTGTATTGTGTATTAGTTTGGTTTGTGCATATTAATATGGTTTGGATTGTGTATTAGTATTATTGTTTGTTGTTGTATGAATTAGCGCATTAATGAGTTTCTTTGGTTACCTTGTGTAGGATTGAAATGGCGCAGCCGGCATCGGGCTCGCAATATGAATATCAACCTAAACATCTTCACCCATGACCGATACAAGAGAAAATGCTATATCGTCAAACAAAGCATAGGTCTCAAGCTGTCTATGAGAATAAGATACTGGACATTAAAACATTCCGCCTCAAGGGCCGTAGATACGACAGTGATTTTTGGGGGATATACAAAAATACGGCACTGGAGGTTAAGGAAGTCATTAAGAGAGCCGGTTTTGAGGGAATCATGAAAGTAGGCTACAAAAGAGTGAATCTCGGTCTCATTACCGCGTTGGTGGAACGGTGGAGGCCAGAAACCCACACTTTCCATTTCATTCTATATATATATATATTTATTTCTTATGTTTTCATTTTATTTATTTTTTTTTTTTTTTAAAATTTTACTCTCTTAATTAACGTCTCAATTTCTTTTCAGGGTGAAGTATTGAACAACATACGCGTGAGTTCCGAGAAGTTTAGAGAAAAACGAGAAGATGAGAATCTCCCAGACGAAGAACTCGACAAGCATTTGGACGATATCATCAATCAAACACATGCTACTTTAACCCTGGGTGCAAATGATGAGATGGAGGTGGAGGATACCCAAATCCTGGTTGATGAAGATCCATCTTTGCCCTCACAACCTCCGCCGGGTAAAAAGCGAAATCGTGGTCGAGAGATAAGATTGGAGGAGGAAGAAAGAGGAAGGTCCCAATCTCACCTCGGACATCGCAACAACAAACTGAGGGTCAACAAAATAAGGATCAAGCACATTCTTCTCGAGGCTCGCGCATCCAGGTCGAGACTCAATTTGAAGACATTGGTGGACCCGAGACTCAGTTTGACCTTGGTGGATCCGAGACTCAGTTTGACCTTGGTGGACCCGAGACTCGGTTTGGTGGACAGTCACAACCACAACCGGGAGTCAAAAAATAAGACCTTTGATGTATTTTGCACATTTAAAGTAGTTTTTGTATTGATTTTAGTATGAAACTTGATTTGTTTTGTTGTTAATCGAATGCCGTTTATTGTTTCGTTACCATTAAATTTCTGTTTTCCAATGTTTCATTGTTGCTGGTGCTGTAAACAGGTTTAGGACTGGTTAAAACCAGTCTAATTTTTTTTTCAGTTCTTACAAAGACTCGGATTTGCGAAATCCGAAAGACTTTTTGTAAAGGATTCGGATTTCGTAAATCCGAGTATGTAGCCAACTGAGAGTTAGCATTTTGCAGAAAACAGAGTAGATTCGGATTACGGTAATCCGAATCTACATTCATTCGGATTACCGTGATCCGAGTTTTCCCAAATTTAATTTTTCAACACATATTTTTTTTCTATCCGGAAATTAATATTTTATTCGTAAATGCAGATTTAGAAAATCTGGATTTAGATTAATTACACTAATTTCTGTCATTAACTTAATATCGGATTTACGTAACACAAAGTCATATTTCTATAATTCGAGTTTAGAAAGGTTCGAATTTCGGAAATCCGAGTCTTCCCCCCATTTAGATTTCCTAAATCCGGGACATATAAGTTTGTCCACAAAATTTTTGGAAGATTTATTTTTGTCCAGATATATATAAGAAAATATATTTAAGAAAAAAATTCTTCAATTTAATGGGAACATTGCCATTTTAGAATTTTACAAAATTTAGTTCGGAATGCTTAATTGAATCCAACTCTATACCACCATATTAACTAACAACCACAAATAATTAATAGGGACATATTATACAAATTACCTTAATACTAACTATTGAAACTATATTACCCACTTTTTTTTAACCTTCGCGTTTGTCTAAATGGACTTATTAAATTAGAATGGAGGGAGTATATTTTTAACTAAGGCTTTTTATGAGCAACTTATTCTAAAAATATTTATTTTCCAGTAATAATACAGTATTTGTTGGATGTATATAGTGGAGACATTAGATTGTCTATTAGTACAGGGACACTTTATCTGTATTCTTAAGTTTTCAAAAAGTACGATGACGGAATTAGGTAATTATTCAGGATCAATTTCAGCAATAGTGAAAAATTCGGGGACCAAACATATTAAATTCGTGGAACTTCAAAATGTAGAACGGATTTCTTTAAACCGCGGCTTGGGGGAGGAGACCAATTTCCGCCACACAGTTTGATGGTGGAATGATCATCAAAGCTGCAAATTCCATTTCTCCGACTCAAAGAAGCTTAAACCAGAAATGGCGGTTTCTGCTCACAGAATGGCTCTTTCCCTGTTATCTTCCTCTGTTCTCACTTCTCGACGTTATCACCCTTTTCCTCTCTTCTCGTCTTCCTTCTTCCATCAAAACCGACAACAGTTTACCCACTCTGCAGTCTGGAATAGATGTTGGAGAAGTGCAAATGGTGTTTACAGAAGCAAAAGGATTGGGTTTTCCATGCCCTCTTCCGCTGTTGCGACTGATTCTTCTGGGTCCAGTTTGAGCACACTTTCTGCTAAAGAAGAAGAGGAAGAAGTAGTAGAAGAAGGGGTTTCTTCGGAAAGTAAAGTCAGGCTTCCCACTAACGAATCGTCCGAGAAGCTCCTTCGAATTCGGCACACTGTAAGTGTTGCAGAATTTTGTCTAGTTGGTATTTTGATTACAATTTGGTGCTTGCCTATTTAGCATGTTTCTGTTTGATTTAGAAAATTTCTCCTTTTTTTTTTTTTTTGTTTCAATAGAATTTGGATATTGAATTGAATGGGAATACTTCTGGAACTTAGTTAATTGGAAATGCGAAGAGTGGGACAACTCAATAAAGCTTGTGTGAGGTAGTGGGAAGTCAGTGAGAGGACTTAGATGTTGATATTAAAGTTATTGCCGTTTTTCTTGTTGTTGGTAAAATTGAAGTTTTCCTTTTTTTCTGTGTAATTTCTTTCTGTATGATGCTGCTATTTGACACCAAAAGACTAATTTTGGGTTATAAAGTAGATAAGTTTGATCGTGTTAACATTCTTCTATGTATGGATTGCAATCACATATTCCGTGACCTTGGGGTTTTTTAGGGATAGTGTATGCGTAGAGTGATTCGGTAGTTCATCAATGCTACTAGTTTGGAGAGAATGCTGTTACAGTTTCGTCTTCTCCATCTGTCCAGAAAAAAGAAACAAACTAAAGTGAAGTTTTAACGTACAGACACAAACAACCTACTATCTTTTCCATTCTCTTCAATTTTGAATCAATGGTGAATCACACAGGATCTCACAATATTGTTAGTAATATCATTAGTAAGTTAAAAGTTCATAAGATCATGTCAGTCAAAAGATAGTTTAGAAAGTTCTTTTGATAGGCAAATATTTAGAAATAATTTTTTTTTTCTTTTTTTGAATGGAGGTGGCAACTAGGAGCATAAATAGAGACTCCGGGCATGAAGTGCAGGAGATTTATTTTTGAATAAATATAGGTTGAAATAAGGGATTTATTTTTGGATTGTATAGGTCCATGTTGCCAAGTTTTACTCATTGTAAGTTATGATCAGTGTTGCGAAATAATCTCATTCTCCAGAATATCTAATCTTCGTGCAGTAAATGGATTTTTTTGTACTTCTCTTGTTATTATCCTGATCTTTTGTTTCTAGTTGTAACTTCACGTTTTTTGTTTTTTTGGTTCTCTTGAGGCTCCTGGGACAGATTATTATATGTTAGATTAGTCGCGTTCAAATTACATTATCCGCTATATAGAATTTGAATTCGTGAACTATATAAGTCCTGATTCCTACACCTCAAGCTGCCGTAGTGCCTTCCTGTCGAAGTTAGATTCAGGGACATATGGTATTTTCAGTCAGTATCACAGTCCTTACCAGCATCAATGGTCAACTGTTGCCGATAGTTTATTGTCATAAAAGCGGTTGAGATGTAGTACAAAAAGTTATTGTTTCATTTAAGGGGGTGTCCATTCAAGTGTAGGATATTACCAAACTAACTCGCATAGAGGTTAAGGACTATTCTTTTCTTTGTTTAACTGTCAGAAGATATAGCAGTATGCAGCCAGCTATTTTTACATACTGTATTCTTGAAGCATGAGAGGCGTGTGGGTTTTTCTCAAGCTCTACCATGTTATGTCTGTATTCGCTGTGTATCATGCATCTTGAAATGCTATTATCTTAGGATATCACGAGGTTCTTCTTTAGTACTGTCTGACTGATATGATTCTATGATTCTGCTCTTGCTGGATGCATGTATAACAGTGACTGTCTGATATGACATTAGAGACTAAATGGAAAGTTCGACACCCTTTGTCACTAAAAAAGGAAACATCTTTCTTAGGGTTGGGTGGATATATATAGATTTCTAAGGATAGGGCAGCTAAATCGCACACCTCTATTTTCCAAAGATTGAGTTGTTATAGACAATGAGTTGTGTTAGGAACAGTTTTTCAAAGAAGTACTGCTTTCAGTTACCATATGAGTCAGATCATTGGTTCTGTTTGACAGATACTCATCTGGCTGCTAAACCGTAATTGTTGGCACATTATAAGATTGGCACGTTTGAATTCGCAGCTCAAGTGTTATAGGAAAGTGTTGTATTTTGACTCGGGAAAGTATTGCCTCAGAGGGTAGAGATTAAAACTTATTGCAGATGTTTATTTTAGTCGTGGACTTTTATGAAATCTTACTTAGGGCCTGTCTCCTTTAATTTTGCTCTCAATTGATTGATTTTTTTTTTATTTTTTATTTTTTATTTTTTTTTTTATCTTTTTAGTTAGTCATGGTCCATCTTTACGGCTTATTTCAGGAAACAGATGAAAGAAAAATCATGTTTGACTTTGGAAGAAAAATCCTGTTTGATAAAAAGAAAAAACTTATGGATTTTGTTTAGAAGATTTTCATCTGATTTTCTAGTTTATTCAGATAATTGTTGGTAACAAAAGGTGACATCCCACTCTTCTGCCTTTTCTGTATGATGATTTTCTGTGTCACCCTTCTTGCTCACGTTTTAGCTTCTAGACTGTAAACCATTTCTGAACCATTTTAAAATATATAAAATAAACATTACAATCTACCTGCATGCCTAGGCATGATGAAAAGAGTTGTTCTTGCAGTGTGCTCATGTTATGGCCATGGCTGTTCAAAAGCTCTACCCTGATGCTAAAGTTACTATTGGCCCATGGATTGAGAATGGCTTCTACTATGATTTTGACATGGAGCCGTTGACCGATAAAGACCTGAAGAAAATTAAGAAGGAAATGGTGAGAGGGGGTACATTTCTGTATTTGGTTTTGTCCTCTTTTTCTTTTACCCTGTACTGCAGAATACTGGTGATTAAACTAAATCAATATTTTCTGCACTTCATTGATACAGAAATATTTTTTTTCTTTGTAGGACCGCATCATTCGTCAAAATTTACCTCTGGTTAGAGAAGAAGTTAGCCGAGATGAAGCTCAAAAACGAATACTTGCCGCCAACGAGCCTTACAAGATAGAGATCCTGGAAAGTATAAAGGAGGAGCCTATCACCATATACCACATTGGTAATGCTTAGATTTTCTTGATTCATATAGTTTCCATTATCTTGCCATGAAATTCTTCCTGCACAAGATTTATACTGTTTCTGGTGCTTTCTAAAGCTCCTGGGTATTCCAGCATGCTAAACAAATTCTCAGTGACCTGATTTTCTTTTAGTTGGTATGACTTTCTTGGAGCTTTTTGTGGATCATTTTTGGTCCATTGAAATTATAGTTATCATGATTGCTCTAAAGTGTCTGAATGGAAACCTTAGGTGTCTGAATGGAAACCTTAGGTCATTTTTATAAGTTCTGTTATCCCTGCTATACATGTGATCTTTGATTTTGTTCCGAGTTTGTTCCTCTCTCGTTACTACTGTATGAGTCTTTCCTTTAGAATAGTGCTTCACTTATGTGTGAGATATCAATTTCTTAGTATTGAAAGCTTGACTGACATTTGTAGAAGATGCGGATGTTGTACTGGTTGGATTCATTTTGTGTAGTGGTAGTTAATGTAAGAGTACAGAGAACTGCATCATTGGGATTGGTACAGAGAACTATATCATTTGGATTACTTTAGCAATACACAGAACTCTTTGAAGAGTTTGTAACGAGTAGTGCAATATTTGTCATGATATTTTGCGGCTTGATGTTGTCATGCAGGTAGACCCTGTATGCATTGATCGATTCTTTTGCTTGTATTTATCTCATTCCTGTTCCATATGTAAGGGGGTGAATGGTGGGACCTTTGTGCTGGGCCTCATGTTGAAACTACTGGAAATATCAGCAGCAAAGCTGTTCAACTTGAATCAGTCGCTGGTGCATACTGGAGAGGTGACACAAACAGGCCCATGCTACAACGAATATATGGAACTGCATGGGAAAATGAGGAGCAGTTAAAAGCATACATTCACTTCAAAGAAGAGGCTAAACGCCGGGATCACCGACGACTTGGACAAGACCTTGATCTGTTCTCTATACAGGTCAGTATCTCTATCTACGTAATGCATCATGCTTGTAATGTCTAATCTAGTGGGTTCATCTCTCTCTTTTTTTTTTTTTTGGTCTAAAATTCACTCTATTGTTTGAATTTGAAAGATGGGCTAATTTCATTCTTTTTAGCACGAATCTGTAGGATGACGCTGGTGGAGGTTTGGTATTCTGGCATCCCAATGGTGCCACTGTACGGCACGTCATGGAAGATGCTTGGAGAAAAATTCACTTAGAACGTGGCTATGATTTATTGTACACCCCACATGTTGCAAAGGCAGAGCTTTGGAAGATTAGTGGTCATCTTGATTTCTACAAAGAAAATATGTATGATCAGATGGATATTGAGGATGAGCTTTATCAACTCCGCCCAATGAATTGTCCTTACCACATTCTCGTTTACAAAACAAGATTACATTCTTACCGGGATTTTCCTATGAGGTTTGCTGAGTTGGGAACAGTGTACAGATACGAGTTATCTGGGAGTTTGCATGGCCTCTTCCGTGTAAGAGGTTTTACCCAGGTATATTTCATTTGCCACAAGTACATCTGATTCCTTTGAGAACTGTGTACACTGTAGGTTTTACTTTTCATTTCGACGAAATAACTTGGTGCCATGCCATCTTTTTGTTACTGAATGTAGGGTCTGCTTTTTACCATTTTCTATTGTAATGTTTTATTTCTGCTTGGCTATGCTATTTTTGGGCTTATTCCAGCTGACAGTGTAAAAATCTGTGGAGGGAGATTCGTCAATCTTTTATTAGGAGGGGGAAGAAACTTTGTTAGAGAGAAAAATTGTAAAATAGCACCAGGAGATCTTTGGAGAAATTATTCATTAAATTTTGAGGGAGAATGAGAATTGTGAGATGCTTCTTTTTGTTTTCTTTTCCTTTTTCCTCGAAGAAGTTTGATAAAAGGGATGGAAAAGGAAATGAAAGCCAACAAAATATAACATAGCGTAAACTTCACTGCTGGTAACGAAGTAATGTGCATGAAGACAAAAACTATATGACAAAATCAAATTTTTTTTTTTCTTTAAAAAGGGATTAATAGTGGTTCCCCACTTACCCCCAGTGTGACTCGAACCCGTGACCTATTGGTCAAAGGTGAGGCATCTTACCACTAGAACGCACCTCGTTGTCAAATCACTTTATTAATGAGATTGTTGAAAACAAAAACCTTTTTAGAAAAGAAAACATGTAGGCTCGCCAATGAATTTTAGGAAGAAGAGAATAAGAGATCTAATAACTTCATTTTTATGTTGATTTACATATTTTTAACTAAAATAAGTTGAATTTTTGGCCAAGACTGCTATTCTTTTAGTGGCCTAATACAATTTTCGTGGTAGTATTGCATGCATGTACTGATTAAGGGGTTATTCAGACTGGAATCTAATACTGCAGATGACATGAAAATATTTCAATCTTAAAGTCTTCTCCTTAGTCATCTTAGATCTCTTTACCTGTTTAGTAGATGATTAGCCAATCAAAAGTAAAAATAAGTAAGTAAATAATTTAACCTTTTTCAGCATAAAACCTTATCTACATGTTTTAACATTGGTGTCTTTTTTAATTTTCAGGATGACGGTCACATATTTTGTTTGGAGCATCAGATCAAAGATGAAATAAGGGGTGTGCTGGATCTCACGGAGGAAGTATTACTGCAGTTTGGTTTTGACAAGTATGAAGTAAACCTTTCTACAAGGCCTGAGAAATCTGTTGGTGATGCTAATATATGGACTAAAGCAACCACCGCTCTAAAGGATGCTTTGGATGACAAAGGATGGGGCTATGAGATAGATGAAGGTGGTGGTGCCTTCTATGGACCAAAGATTGATATCAAAATTGAGGATGCTCTTGGAAGGAAGTGGCAATGCTCTACTATCCAGGTTTAGTTCTGCTGTTCCGCCTCTATTTTTCTTAAAATGCAGATTTCTAGCAGTAAATAGGGTTTGCCATCGTTTCTGATGCATCACTCTCTCAGAGGGATATGCTCATTTTTCCTTTAGCTTAGATGTCATTTTGCCATTCATGACGAATATAAGTGAAAATGCTTGAATGCGACTCTGAGACTACTGAATGCGACTCTGAGACTTACTGTAAGAGAAATTGGTTTTCACATTTGACTGACTCGAAGCATTATCTGTTTACAGTACCTTATATCTAATAGTTTGATTGAAAATGGACGATGTAAGAAAATGTCAATAGTCGAAAGATAGTATTCTGCTTTTTATTCAAACCTATTAAATTTTAATGAGGTTTAGGTTTTGTTTAAGGAAAATATCCAGGTTATTACAGAACTAATAAACAATCAGCTGAAGAAAGAAATGAATGACTTTGCTCACATTTTTTAACTTTTGTTAATTTTTCATTCTTTGGTTACAGGTGGATTTCAATCTACCCCAGCGTTTTGATATTACATATGTTGATTCAGACCAAGAGAGGAAACGGCCTATCTTGATTCATAGAGCAGTTCTTGGATCATTGGAGCGTTTTTTTGGAGTTCTTATTGAGCATTATGCTGGTGATTTCCCATTGTGGCTTTCGCCTAAGCAAGCTCGCATTTTACCAGTTACTGACGCACAGGTATTTGAGAGATTCTTTTCTTTTCCTTCTTCAACTTTTATATATTGGTCCAATCATTCACTAGATTGCCTAATCTGATTGAAACAAGCCACATAAAGGAGATGTTTGCTCCATACGCTTGCGAGTTGTGACTTTCTTGCTGGAAAAATTATGCTCTTAACATCTCGCATTGCTCCAGAATACTAAATTCAAGACTGTCGAATGAACAATTTTTTTCGGTTAAGTTGATCCAATTCCTTTTCATTCCTTTATTAGCTTGGGTATTGTGACGAGGTGCTAAGGAGACTGAAAGAGAATGGTGTTCGGGCTGAAATTTGCAGTGGCGAACGTTTACCTAAGCTCATTAGAACTGCAGAGAAGCAGAAAATACCATTGATGGCTGTGGTTGGGCAAAAAGAAGCAGAAACTGGAACGGTAACAGTAAGATCTAGGCACAACGGGGAAGTGGGATCTATGTCCGTGGATGATTTTCTCTTTAGGATTAAATCTGCTGTTGAAAGCAGAACATTCTTTTGAAAAGGGTTAAACACTACTACTGGGGATGGTAGCTCCAGTCATCATCTGTTATACAGAATAAGTTCAAAGGCAGCAGAGTTTTGACTGTTATTGAGCTTTTTCATAATTGTACATCAAACTTAGTGATAAATACAAAAAGGATAGTCCAATCAGAAACAATTACTTATAAGCCCGTTTCTTGTTTTTGTTTTTTTTTTTCTTCACAAGAACTATGAGGTGTGTTTTTTTAAAGCACTTTCCAAATTTTGGCTAAATTCCCATTGGGTCGGGTAATAGTAAAAGTCTTTTCAACATTGTTCTTCATATATCGATTTGAACACTAGTTTGTTCAAAATTTATGAGTCCTTTACCATTTTAACTAGACAATTTGACCCCAAAGATTCGATCAATATGAACCAACCCATTGTATTTTGTATTATGTGCAATTCACGAGTCAAATCAGTCAGTATGAACACACGTTCATTGATAACATCGAAAATGAACTAAGAAATGCCTTCGTAGCCGGGACGATATCTCATATATAGTACATATTAATAAATATTTCAATGCTAAATATTCTGTCATTCTTTGGGTCTTCAGTCACTATATATAAATGGCTAAAATGAGAGACAGATTTTTTTATAGCTCGCAGGACAAAATGGCCGAAAAGATTGGCTTAATTGTTATGTTGTGGCTCTCATCAGCAGTTGGAGCTAGTCAAATTCAATTGTTCCAGCAAAATGATTCTTCTTTTTCTTCTTCATTCTCACTAATAGTGGAAGGTGGTATTTGTGCATATGTTGTCCAGCCACTCGGCTATGCATGCGAAGAGCATCAGGTACCTTCCTATATTCGCATAAGATACTTTCTGTGTGTGTGTGTGTGTGTGTGCTTTTCTTTTAAATATACGTATTATTGTTCAATACAAAACAATTTGATACATGTAACAACGTACTTAAAAAGTGTTACTAAGTTACTACAACAATGCAAAAATACAAAATATTCTGCAAGATCAATTCGGTTGTTTGTATCTTTACTTTTTAAACACTAAAATTGAGAAATTTGGGAGCCGCGCGCATTCAGGTAACAACTGACGATGGTTATATCCTAAGTTTGCAAAGGATTCCACAAGGCCGGACTAACAAATCACCAAACACGATCCCGGTTCTATTACAACATGGACTTTTGATGGTAATCATTAACAATTTCTTTTTCATTTTTTTTAAAGAAAATCAACATATATTAAACAATATTAAAGAGATGTCTCACCACAATATATATATATATATATATATATATATGTTACGCTTGATCGTCTCCTTTTAATTTTCCCTCAATTTCACCTTGTATAGGATGCAGTATCATGGATGTTAAATTCTCCAGATGAATCCTTAGCCTTCATTCTGGCAGACAATGGGTTTGACGTCTGGTTGGCCAACACTCGAGGCACTAATTATAGTCGAGGACATACATCCCTACACCCTAATGATTCCGGGGTACATCCATTTTAGATTCCAATAAAAATGAAATATACTGGATATGTTGATGTCGATGATCTTGGTTATGATTTTCATAATCATTGCTATCAATTTTATTTTTATTTTATTTTTTGTTAGGACTATTGGGACTGGTCATGGGATGAATTGGTTGGGTATGATCTCCCAGCTCTTGTAGATTATGTACATGATCAAACTGGAAACAAGCTCCACTATGTTGGCCATTCCCTGGTGACTTATTCGTATTTACAACATTAACTAACGAGTTCTTGCGAAAATAAGTACTCCCTCCGTCCTAAAATTATTGTTCACTTTGAGATTTCATTTTTAGTACAATTTGGACTAGAAATGAAAACCCAAAATGGATAATAATTATGGGACGGAAGGAGTATATATATATTGAAAGAATTCATTAGTAATTTATCGAATATGTCACTCTTGCACAATACATAAAAAGGCTTGAGTTATTAATTCTTCAATGTTGTATTCCTGATTGCTAATATCGTAAAAATAAAAAACCATTTTCACATATTATAATTTTGCATTTGAACACTTAGTTTCAATTTGTATATATGCAGGGAACCCTAATTGCCTTGGCTGCTTTTTCTGAAGGCAAGTTACAGAACGACATTAGATCTGCAGCGTTGCTCAGCCCTATTGCTTATTTGGCTAACATGTCTTCACCTCTTGCAAAAACTGCAGCTGATGCATTTGTAGCTGAAGTAATTGATCAACTTGCAACTTGTTTTTTCCTTTTCCTTTTCTTTTATTTATTTCTTCCGTCTCAATTTAATAATCCATTTAGTTTAATTTAGTAAACTATTAAAGTTACAGAATGAGCATTTATCTTCTAATTTCTCAAAATTGCATTTTTTTTTCCCTTTTCCAGGATTTATACTGGTTAGGAATCAAGGAATTCGATCCACTAGGGTGAGTAACACTTTGAGAAATTAATTAATATAAGAATTATTACATTATCAAGGTTTATCCCAGAATAATAACAATGATAAGCATATAATTCATGCAAGGAGAAAATAAGATTATACAGAAAAACGTTAATCTACTTTGTCATGGGATTTTTTTTAAAAAAAATTAAGTCACTGTTGTTTGTTCGCTCATTGATGATCAATAATAGATCATTTCTCTTTTGTGCTTTGTATCGCACATAATGAGTCAATCGGGAAAATGGCATATTGCAAACATCACTATTTTTTATCATGTCTTGAAAATTAATTAGGTGACTAACAACAATACAACATTCAACATGATATATAATCAAATATAAGTTCAGTTTTTACTCTTTTTTTTTATATATTTGCATGCGTTAGTAAAAATAAATTTTGGATTTTTTTTAAATTTATTTTTATTGTGATTAATTTAGAAAAGCAGCCGCAAAACTAATCGGAGATATTTGTTCGCAAACAAGTAGCAACTGCTCGGATTTGATGACCTCTTTCACCGGTACATTTTCTTTTTGATATTTTTGGTTCGAAATCATGAAATCGAGCTGGATTTTAAAGACGAAGAAGAAGAAGAAGATATGAGTAGTTTAGTAAATTGCTGTTTCTCTCCTAGAGAAATAGTCACTTTGCTGAACAAAAGTATAGTCTTTTTGTACCTAAAAAAATAATTCACGTTATTACAAATTTTAAAATTTAATATGAATTATTTTTTTGGTACAATATTAATAAATCAGTTATTGTTCTGGTTCTGGGACGGAAGAAGTAATTAATTCGAAGGGTAAAAATGTTAGATTTAATTGTTTCAGGGCCAAACTGCTGCGTGAACTCTTCCAAGACCAGTGATTTCCTGGAACATGAACCACAGCCAACTGCCACAAAGAACATGGTCCATTTAGCCCAAAGTAAGTAGTTTTGAGAAATAATTTTTTCCCCTCACGATAAAGAACTAAGAAAAATCAAAGTGCAATTGGTAACAGAAAATTATACCATGCACATTAAGTGCATGTAACTAGATACATATAGACCCTTATTTGGTAATTAGTATAGGAAAGGAGGGCTAAACATGCAAGTCTTTATGAGTTATGTACAACTCATGTGTCCCTTCCTCTTAATTTTAGGAATTGAGTTTTAAAAATTTCTTAAATTTTTAAATTACTTTATTTCTTAATCCGTAAATAATTAGACCAAACATCTTTCATTTTGATAGTATTCGACGAGATCTATCTAACAAGATCCCTCATGAATATGCTTTTCGAAACTTAAAAAAATTTATGCAGTAGTCTTGGTTTTACTAAAAGACATTCTGGTCTTATTGTGTCTTTTAGGACTAAGACCTACAGAAAAGACTAAATGCCAAAGGCCAAAGACCAAAATTGAATACCAAAGAGTAAATATCAAAGACCAGAGTAAAGAGCGAGTGTGTGTGAGGAACAACACAAGACTAAAGACCAAAGACTAAGAAACCGAAAATCAAAGAGCAAAACCGAAGACCAAAGACCAGAGTGAAAAAGCGAGCATTGTGTGAGGAGCAAAAACTGAAGACCAAGGACCGAAGGCCAACAACCAAATATCAAAGACCAAAAACCAAAGACCGAAAGCCAAAGACCAAAGACCAAAGGCCAAAAATAAAAAATTAAAGACCAAAGAGCAAAGACTAAAGACCAGAATTAAAAGCGAGCGCGTGTGAGGAGTAAAGACCAAAGGCCAAAAATAAAAAATCGAAAAAATATTAGTGTGTTTAGGTTTTAGGAGGGTTTAAACGTTTTCTTGTCGGTTAGGGTCTAGTTGTTTAGGGTTTAGAGTTTAGGAAGTTTAAGCATTTCCTTATTGGTTAGGGCCTAGTTTGTGCCGTAACACGTTTAACTTATAAATTTTTAAAACCCAATTAGGCTACGAAACCCTAGCCTAATTGATTTAAAAAAAATTAAACCAAAAAAAAAATAGTGTGTTTAGGGTTTAGGGGGGTTTAACCATTTCACGGTCTAGTTGTGTAGGTTTTAGAGTTTAGGGGGGTTTAAGTATTTCCGTGTCAGTTAGGGCCTAGTTTGTGTCGTAACACGATAAAAAATTTAAACCAAAAAAAAAAAAATAGTGTGTTTAGGGGTTGGGGGGTTTAACCATTTCCGTGTCGGTTAGGGTCTAGTTGTTTAGAGTTTAAGGGTTTTAAGCATTTCCGTATCGTTTAGGGCCTAATTTGTGCCGTAACATGATTAACCTTATGAAATTTTTTTCAACAAAAAAAAAAAATTAGTGTGTTTAGAGTTTAGAGGGGTTTAACCATTTTCGTGTCGGTTAGGGTCTAGTTGTTTAGGGTTTAGAGTTTAGGGGATTTAAGCATTTCCGTGTCGGTTAGGGCCTGATTTGTGCCGTAAAACAATTAACCTTATGAAATTTTTTTAAACCAATTATGCTTTGGTTTAAAAAAATTTAAACCAAAAAATAAAAAAAATATTAGTGTGTTTAGGGTTTAGTGGGTTTAAGCATTTCTGTGTCGATTAGGATCTAGTTGTTTAGGATTTAGGGTTTAGGGAGGTTTAAGCATTTCTATGTTGGTTAGGGCCTAGTTTAGTCTTTTGGCTATTGGTCTTTGGTCTTTGGTCCTCATACAAACTCGCTATTCATTCCAGTCTTTGGTCTTTGATCTTTAGTTTTCAGTTTTTGATCTTTGGCCTTTTGTCTTTGGTCTTTGTTTTTCACATACGCTTGCTCTTCACTCTAGTCTTTAGTCTTTAATGTTTGGTCTTTGGTCTTTGATCCTCTCACGCGCTCGCTCTTCACTTTGATCTTTGGTCTTTAGTTTTTTGTCTTTGCTCTTTGATTTTCGCTTTTTGGTCTTTGGTCTTTGGTCTTTGTTGTTTGCTCTAGGTCTTGTTGCTAAAAGACACAAGTAAGACCATAGTGTCTTTTAGGATGACCAAACCAACTGCATAAATTTTTTAAAGTTTCGAAAAACATATTCATGATTGATCTTGTTGGATAGATCTCATCGAGTACTATCAAAATGATATAAGACACTTGGTCTAGTTCACTACGGATTAAGAAATAAAATCATTTGAAAATAAAAGAAATTTTGAAAATTCACTTCCTCAAATTAAGGGGAAGTGACACGTGCATTGAAAAGAACAAAAAAAGTATGTAAAATAATTATACATGAAATCCCTTCATTATTGAATAATCAAAAAAAAATCTAAGTGCACCTAACTAGATGCACTTAATGTGCATAGTATAGTAACTCATTGGTAACACTATTAAATTTGATGACGTCAATATACATCTTACTTCAAAAGAGAATAAAAAATCACTAATTTAAAACATAAATATAAGAGGCTAAAATAGCAACAGTATTTTGAATCCTCGGTATGTCACATAGTTTTGATAATTTATCTAAAATATGCAAATGATAGGTATTCCACCTATGTCTTTTACTAAATTATTAGTTATATGAGAAGTGATATTGAGAAACTTTACGTTGATGATTAATTACCAACGAAACGTTATCTTTCTTTTCTTTTTCTAATTGTATATTTTTATTTTCAGTGATTCGAGAAGGCAATATAGCAATGTATGACTATGGCAACTCAGATGAGAACAACAAACATTATGGCCAACCCATCCCACCTGTTTACAACATGGCTAATATACCAAGTGATTTACCTCTTTTTCTTGGTTACGGTGGTCAAGACTATCTTTCTGATGTTAACGATGTGGAAACTCTTCTAAATGTTCTGAAAGATCATCATGATGCTTCCAAACTTGTGGTGCAATACATCCAAAATTATGCCCATGCTGATTTCATTTTTGGTGAGAATGCTAAAAAAGTTGTTTATGCTCCTATGATGGCATTTTTCTGGTCCTATTGACAAAGAAAATATCCTTCCACTCCTTTGATGAAGTTAGTACTTCTCTTATATGATAAACTAGTATAAATGTAAAAACTTAATGTTGATTATTATTTTGGGATAGAGAGACGACTATTTCTTAAAAGATTTTGGTGTGGACTTGTGGCTGAAAATTTAGACTGTGAAAGCCTGTAACCAGCAAATTTATTTTGAGTAGTGATAGGTACAAGAAAAAAATGACAAGGAATGACGTGTCAAGATCTTAACTATGTCCTACCCTTAAATGCATAAACCTTGTTTGGAAAGTTTTAACAATGGACATGTGATATCATTTCCTTGTAATTTTTCCTTGTCATTTTTTCCTTGTACCAATCATTATCCATTTATTTTCATGGATTACTCAAAAATAAAGAATTTGTATATTGTAGAGTACTACCTATCCATCAAAATAATTTTTTTTTTTTTAGAATCAGGGTGGCACATGGCGGAAATGGTAATCAATTTGTTGATTTACGAAAAAAGACTTTGCTAGTGCTTAACACTTACCAAGATGCGTGAAATCATATATATATTTAACCTTCAAAAATACTATTACACAAAAAAGCATAAGTTTCATTCCTATATTTGTCTCATAATCGGGCCACCTTACCGTTGAGTAACTCACCAAGTATATTGGTTGGCCATCGCAGTTTAGTATCCCTCTTCAAGTTGACACCACCTTACTGGTGAGTTTCTCACTAAGGAAGCTGGTTAACGATCATAGGCTCAAATATGTCCTTAATATTCGCACCACCTTACTGGTAAATCTTCCACCAAGAATGCTGGTAAGCGACTATTAAGAATTTATCTTAGACGAATATTGGGAAGAGATCTTTGATCCAATATCAAAAGACCCCTAACCTGTGCTGGTAAGTCCCCTATATGATCATAAAATGCAATGACTCCCGATGATGCTAACTTTGACAGTCCATCATCTATTGAATTGCCTCTCTATAAATATGTCTGACAGTATAATTTTGTCTCTTCATAATGGATACAATTTCGTTCCGGTCAAACAAAAATTTCCATGGGTAATGTATTTCTTTCTAAAGCCTATTAGCAATCAACATACTATCGGCCTGTATTACAACATCCCGAGGTCGATATCATTACATTTTCAAATTCCGCATAGAATTCCTTTGATTTCGGCTGATAAGCTGAATCCATTGAGATTCACCATAAGTAAATCTTCCATTCTGTCCACATATAATGAACCCAAAACCTGGGTTACTTGGAACTCCAAGAGTAAAACCATCCGAATTTAGCACATAGCTATTTGGACAGGGAGATATCCAATGTACCATTTGAAGCTGTCGTCGACTTGTAACCATTATGAAATACCAAAAAACTCCTGAAGCTTTTCCGACTCCACCATCGAAACTACCTTTTTAGTTCTAACTAAAACCATGGACACTACATGATCATGAACAGCTTGTATAACCTTCAAAGGAGAGAAAGATATTCCTTGAAGTTCATAGCTATTCCTAGCCTTCAAAGGAGGACCATGCGCCTTTATTGCATCAATTCATGGCTGATACTGAAACTAGGCCTAGCATTTTTCGGTTTTAAAAAATGTGGATGAGAAGAGATAATTATTTGGACATGGTAAAAGAGAATTAGGAGCAGCCGATGGTAGAATCAGGAATGTTGGATTTTTCATTGAAGTTTCAACAATTAAAAACTCGCCTGAGCGGAATAAAATGGAATTTGGGGATGTCTTTTAGAATTTAAAAAATGCACAGAAAGCTGTTCGAGTAAAAGAATTAGAATTTGATCAACATAGACCTGAATATGTAAATATTGAACTCAACCGTTTGCAAGCACACTTCCTGCTCAAGTTACGCAAAGCATGATGATCTTTTGCAGCACAAGTCAAAATTGAAATGGCTGCACGACGGTGATGCCAATACCAAATATTTCCATGCTTCGCTGATTGAAAAGAAAGCTCGATTGGGTATTCATAAAATAAGAGGGAATGATGGCGCTTGGATTTCTGACAGAAAAAGGATTGAGCAAGAAGTGGTGTTTTTTTTTTTTCAAAAATCTCCTCATGGAAGAAAAAGCTGAAAATCATGAAGATGTAATCAGGAAGATTCTATCAAATATTCCGATAATTTTAGATGAAGATGATAATTATCATCTTTCTAATGCCCTTAATCAAAATTTTCCCAATATATATATATATATATATATATATATATATATATATTAAGTCTCATGTACATAATAAACATAAATAGGGTTATTTTTTAATTTTTTCAATGTGAATGAAAAAATAGGAAAAAAATTTTTAAAGTGAAAAAATTTTGATGATAAAATGAAAGATATTATAATAAATAATTTTTTTATGAAAGTATTGAGAATAATTCCCAAAAATTATTTCTCGTAAAAAGTTGAAATAAATAAATAACTTGACATGTGAAGATGGCTTATGCATTCTTCAATAGCTCATAAAAATTAAGTTTACTTTTTGTTTTAATACAGTTAGATAGTAAATTTTGTTTTTGTTTAACATATTACTAGATTCTGGTCCGTTGCATACAATGTATTTGTTTATCAAAAATTTTGTCTATTTTTTTTTTTTGAAAATTAGATAGCCCAACGAGAATCCATACTTCGCATTCTGGTAATAACCATCCTCCATCCTAATCCCCTAACCACCCTATCCAACTCTCTTACCCAACCGAAAATATTATCTACGAAAAGATAAAATTGTAAAGAATATATACCGACACAATAAAATTATGATAATAACTTACAGCACAAGGTAATGAGATCTTAGTCTAGTGGTAAAGCGCAAGGATCAAATCCCATCTTGAATATATATGGGGTAGAGGGTTTTATTTATTAGTGTTCACTGGTTTTTTATTTTTTAAAATTAAATTAAATATCTTACAAAAATTATATTCATTCATCTAATGGTAAATTAACTTATCATATAATTTGGTAATTATTCCGTTAATGATGTCATCAAAGCCTACAAAATCAAAACTTATAAAGGAAATTTTGGATCATGCAACAATGTACACAAGATAATAAACTCAATTAGAGGTTGCATACTTTATTCGATATTCATTGATCTTAGCAATGCCATAGTTTAAGTAAATTCAGGCATCATATATAACGCTTGACTTTGACAAATTACCTATAAGAAATGTTTTTTGTTTATTTATATAATATAATTTTTCAAAATAGTTATAGTTACTATAGTATTATTAAAAAAAAAAAAAACCTAACTATATTCAATCGGTAGAGTATGGATTAAATTTGGCGAATAAGGATTATTTCGCATGAGTTTGTATCTTATTCCCCACATAATACATATTTGATATTATGTGATTGTGTTGACGTTAATATTCTGATAATCTGATACTAAACATGATTCGATTAGTGACCAAAAAAAAATGGTTCTTGGGATGATAGTTGCATGAGAGGCTGGGAATGGGCATATGGCGATATAGCTGAAGCTAAAGAGATTGGAACAGTCATGTTTTGATTGGATGCAAGAGAAGGAAAGGAATTTGGGTCATGAGGCGAGGATGGATCATTTTCTGACTGGACTGGAATAATTATAGGGAATGAGTTCCGGTAAGGAAAGGATCGGGGTACGTTTTCCGTGGTATCCAGTTCTGGATATTCATGAAGAGACTCTTGCATTATAGGTCTGTGCCTTGAGATCATTGCTAAAATTAACAATCCTCTCGTGTGTGGAATTTTTGAGGATCTTCTCATGGCAGTCTTGACCTGTATGGCCCATAATCCCGCAAAAGTAACAAAAATCCGGGAGCCTCTCATAGCTTACAGTACATGAGAAGAATTTTTTTCCCTTGAAAGTAACATCCACCGACTGACAAAGAGGCTTCGTCCTACAGATTCAGCAAGAGGCACTTTTCTCGATTCATCCAAACTCATATTGGCACACAACTCCTCCAACGACTATGGTTATATGAGATTAGTTACACGTAGATCAGAGATTTGGAGAGAACAACCCTGTTATAGCTCCCTAAAACATGAATGAGATTTGTGAAAAATAACCAAAGCAAACACAAAAATATTAGCAAAAAAGTATGTAATTCAGAGACTCCAATAAATATGATTCTCTCTCCTCGACTATTTCTTTCTCTAGGCGATTTCCGATGAAATAGCATGGCAAAGGGTAAACAGAAGGGGAAAAAGAAAGCAATAACGTCGGAAACCATCATCACTCCGGCTAGTGGTATTACGGGGAAGACGAATCAAGAGTTGGATCGAGTAGTTTTGGAGAAAGATGCAGGCAATACCCAGGGGATCCAATCACCAAACCCTAGGGCGACGATGTCAAAGGGGGTTACCCAAATGGTGAACTCGGTCGATGGGGAAGCATCGAAGAAACTGAGTGAGCTATTGGGGTGTTCCCACCGTGAGAAGAATTGATTGGTCAGCACAAAATACACCAGATCTGGGAAAGCGCAGCAACATTGGGAGCAATTTGACCCGAAGAAATTGAAGAAAGCCGGAGCAAAACTTGACTCATTTTTCAGCCTAAGGACTGTGATGGGAAGAATGTCTGCTAGATGCAGAAGAAAGACGTTCAAGTGGAGGCAGAATACTGGGATCAGTCCATCGTTAGCTTCGTATTGGGGGCCAATCATCCTCTGCCTGTAATGGAAAGGTACTATCGAAATTTGTGGAAAGGGGCTGTTGATAAATACTACTATTGCCTTCTGGATTGTTTTTAGTACATTTTAAATCAGATGATGCTAAGGATGAGGCTTTGAGCATTAATATTTATCATATAGGTACTAACCCTGTAGTAGTTAAACCTTGGAGCATTGAAAAGGGGATTAACATTAGAGAAGTGACCCATGTTCCTGTGTGGGTTCAATTCCCTGGGCTTGAGCTTAAGTACTGGAATCCAGCCTCACTAGGTCGATTAGCCAGCAATCTGGGGATACCAATCATGGCAAATGTAGAAACCACAGAGAAAATGAAAGTGCAATATGCCAGGGTGCTCATTGATGTTGCAATTCAGGATTTTCCTCCGGTGGAAACATTTTTTGAAGATGAAAATGGTATTGTCCAAACTCAGCAGGTGTATTATGAATGGCGGCCTACAAAATGCTCTCATTGTCATGGATATGGTCATGGTGGGGAAGTTTGCAGGAAAAAAAGAGAATGTGAAGAAGGGCCAGGCAGAAAGAGTGGCAGCTTCAAAGTCTACAAAATCAGTGGAGAAGGAATGGAAAAGAATAAAAATAAAAAAATAAAAAAAAAAAGGAAAGGAAGTGGCGGTTGAAAAGGCAACGGATGATCCAAATACAGCAGTGGAGGGGCAAACCCATCAGAATGATCAGGAAAAAGGTGTGATAACTCAGCACTGGGAAGCTCAGCCATCTAAGTTTTCGGTGTTAGCTGGAAATGAAGAAGCTGGACCTAGTCACAATGGGGTTGAAAACCAGCAAGAGGAGCATCGGGGGGTACCAAAGGATCCAGACCCTGGTAAGATATGACAAGTCTCTTATCTTGGAATATTAGAGGCCTTAACAGCCTCGGTAAGCAAAAAGAAGTAAATAGACTGGCAGTTGTACATAAGATTGAAGTTATATGTTTAATGGAAACAAAGTTAACACAGAGTAAAGGAGAAGAGTATTTAAAAGAATGTGGCCAGGACATGAGTACTATATAAATTTTCCTTATTGTTCTAGAGGGAGAATTTGTATTCTCTACTGGAAAGACCTTATTAAAATGTCCATATTAAGTGCTACTGATTAGTTTGTTCATTGTAAGGTATATAATCATAAGAATGTCTGGTTTTACCTTACTGTGGTCTATGAAAGTAATAGCCTGACAGAGAGGTATCACCTGTGGGAGGATTTCATTGCACTTGAAGGAAGTATTAGAGGGGCCTGGTTGATCACAGGTGATTTCAACAATGTGTTAAGGCCAGATGAGAGAATTGGAGGTAATCCTATCACTTTGGTGGAACACACAACCATTTCAGAGATGTGTGGACACTTGTGAATTACAAGATCTGCAGCAGGAAGGGTATCTGTTTACTTGGAGCAATAAGCAAGTCGGCGATGCTAGGATTATATCCAGAATTGATCGAGCTCTTCTCAATCTGGATTGGATTCTGCAATTTGAAAGGTCACTTGCTACTGTGTAGGCTGAAGGCGTCTCAGATCATACGCCATTCATTATCCAGACTGACACACAAGTAAGTTATTTACCAAGACCTTTTAAGTTTTTCAACATGTGGTGTTTGGACAGTTCTTTTCATTCTTTAGTTGATAAGAGTTGGGAAGCACCTGTAAGGGGTACCAAAATGTTTCAGCTTACTCAAAAATTAAAAAAGGTTAAAACTAGTGTTGAGGAAGTTGGATAAACAGAGATTCTCAGATATACAGAAAAAAGTACAGGATACATATCAGAAGCTGTTAGAAGTTCAAAACTCCACAATAGCCCTGAAAGAACTTGTAATCAAGACTGTATCCAGCTTGCCAAAGCCCTGGAATCTCTATGAACCCAAAAAACAGAGGAATGGATACAGAAGGGGGACAGCAATACGGCCTTGATTACTGATTGGAAGGATGTGGAGCATCATTTCTTGTCTTTCTTCCAGCAACAGCTTGGCCAGAAGCACCAGAGAATCAAGTCTGATATTAGAGTGTTCCAGCAGGGATCTCGCCTTACAATTGAGCAGCAGATGGATCCTATAAGGCCAGTTTCTGCAAGTGAAATCAAGAGAGCACTATGGAATATTGATGGGAATAAAAGTCCAGGTCCGAATGGTTTCTCTAGTGATTTCTTCAAGAAAACCTGGCCAACCACTGGAAGGGATGTGATTGAAGCTGTGCAGGAATTCTTTTCAACAGGGTGTATGCTAAAACAGTTAAATTCAACAATGATTGCTCTCATCCCCAAAACGGATGCTCCAAAGAATGCTGGGGAATATAGACCCATTGCTTGTTGCAATGTGGTCTATAAATGTATCTCAAAAGTCCTTTGTGGCAGAATGAAAGATGTGCTAGCTGATTTGGTAAATGCGAATCAAAGTGCATTTATCAAGAACATATTTCTACTGCATAATGTTCTCATAGTGCAGGAATTCGTAAGGCTATACAGGAGAAGTAACATCTCTAGTAGCGTGATGATGAAAATAGACATCAAGAAGGCGTATGATACGGTCGCATGGGAGTTCGTCGAAGAGATGCTATATGGTTACGGATTCCCTGGACAGTTCATCAGTTGGATTATGGCCTACGTTACCTCACCTTCCTTCACTCTTGCAATCAATGGCACTTCAGTTGGGAATTTTGAAGGAAAGCGGGGGCTCATGTGTGAATTGTTTTTATAAAAAAAAAAAGTATTCGTGTATAAAATACTTAACTCTTGAATAATGTTTGACTTGACTAATTTTATGTTAAAAACAATATTATATGACGCACTTATTATAATGAAAGTGATTCAAAACATCAAAATAAGAAAATTCATTGTGATCAATACTGATGTTATGAAATTCATTTCGTTAATATATTCATTGGCCCCAGTGAAATTCATTCTAGATTTGTTACTATATATGACATTTTGATAGTTATCAAAGCAACAAAATCTCCCTCTTTAACTTAATATAATATTTTGTTGCTATAAAAATATGTTCATACCCAAAATACATTGAAAAATATTGAGGAATAGTTACATTTCCTTCGGTCGAAGAAGTTTTTCTGAATATATGATAGTATATGATGTAAATTTTTCTAAATTATATTCAAACAAGTTTATCATATTTATTATATACCTTTTGTGCACTAAAATTAATACTTCCTTGGTCTCAAAAGAATTGTTCGATTTTAATATTCACCATAAATAAAAATTCAAACTAGACAATTATTTTTTAAGATCAGGGATAAGCTCCAACACGGTTTCTAGCATAACAGATGGGTGGCTCAAAAGAATGGTGTTTATAGCACTGCATTTGCTTATACATGGATGAAAGAACTAAGGCAGAAACTAAGAGTGGCAGATCTCATTTGGAATAGTGTTAATGTTCCTAAACATTGTTTTATAGCTTGGCTATGTTGGCAGAACAAGAAGCTGAAAAAGACAGGATTAAGTAGATGAGAATCACAGTTGCATATGAGAATTGCCTTTTATGTAGCAATGGTCAGGAAAATCCAAATCATCTCTTTAATCAATGTAGTTTTGCTCAAGAATTATAGCAGACAATCAGGGTATGATGGAAATTTCCATGCAGCTGGACAACACTGAAGAATTGGCAGAGACTCTGATATGTTTGGAAAGGCAGCAACATGAAGAAAAAAGTCTTATATGCTCTCATTATAGCTGGGTGTTATCATATCTGGCAACCCAGAAATCAACAACTACGTGAGGGGAAGCACATGGAGGTGGAAGCAGTATTTGAGAATATAAAAAAGGAAACCAAATGGAGGTGTCATAGCAAATGCAAGGCAAAGAAGGCAAAGGAGAAAAGCTTTTCCGCAGAACTAATGTAATAGTTAGTTGTGCACTTTTGATTTCCCCTTAAATTTATTTGCTGATGTTGGTAGATGTACCAATAATAGGCATATGCATAGCTTGTAAATAGGTCAACGTTTTTGGCAAATTTTGAGAAAGTAATACAATTCACATTTTACCCAAAAAAAATTTATTTTAAGATCGTGAAAATATAATATTTCAGAAGATCCAAAATTTTAAAAATAAAATGAGAAAAAAACAAAGAGATTTGACCCCAGATTTATTGTTTATTGACTTGGATGTAAAAATAAAATGATGTAAATTTGTTTGAATTATATTCAAACAATTTTATCATATTTATTATATATCTTTTGTGCACTAAAACTAATACTTCCTTGGTTCCAAAGGGATTGTTCAGTTTAGATTTTCACTATAAATAAAAATTCCAACTGGACAATTATTTTAAGACCGTGAAAATATATATTTCAAAACATCCAAAATTTAAAAAATAAAATGAGAAAAAACAAAGAGATTTGACGCAGGATTTATTTGTTTATTGACTTGGAAATTTAACTTTCACATTAATAAATTTTATGTAATAAAAATTTTTATATATATACATAATAAATTATGATAGCATATATTTTTAGTACATACTAAAAGTAAAAATTTAAACTGGATAGTTTTTTTGGGATAGAGGGATTAGTTTTTAGCATATGAAAATTAATGTGTATCTATATATAAATGATTACTAATATGTGTAAACTGATTTTTATATTAAATATTAAATTTTTCATTAAAAGATACGAAGAAAATCCAAAAAAGAAACCAAAAACTAGAAATTAAAAATGGTTAAAATCTAATAAAAAGGAGAGAAACAAGGAGGTTTTACTTATTATTTGTTTGTGTGTTGAGTGAGAATTTCAATTATCATATTAATAATCCTTATGTAATTAAAAAACTTACAATTGTGTATTGTATATAATCAATTACAAGATTGACACAATAAATTATATACAAAAAAATGCATGTTTTTAAAAAAAAGTTAGAATTGTATCGATTAGTTAGATAACAAGTAATTATAATATATAAATTCTATAGCATCCAAACGTAAGAATTGGTATTAGAATTTTAATTCTTGTCAATTCTGAAGATCTTCGAAAGAAAGAAAGTAAGATTGAATTGCAACTTCAATTATTTTTAATTCTATTGGATTGTAATTCTAATTCAGTTCCAATTCGTTCTAACCAGACGGAGCCTGAATGAAATTCTTTGAAAAATTTGGACTCAAAATGAAAACTAGTTCCTTTCTTCTTCATTTTTTTTAAACAGAAAATTTAAAATAGAAATCCTTCTCGAAAAGCTGACGTGTACAATTCTTATAGGCCAAAACACGTCGTCACCCGTCATCACGTTTCAGTAACAAAGGGGGGTTTCCAAGGTTTCTTATGTGTTCGTCCCATTTGAATTCTGGAAATCGCCGATTAGTCATCATTTTCCCCCTTCAATTCATACTGCCCAAAACACAGTATCGCAGTGGGTAAAGGAAGAAAGAAAGAGATCGAAATGCGGGGGTTGCCACTTTTGACATTGATTCTGTTTAGTTTGAAGCTCATTGCTAGTGTTAATGCATTGTATGGGCCTTCTTCCCCTGTTGTTCAGTTAACTCCCTCCAACTTCAAGTCCAAGGTAATATCAATGCTGATTTTTATTAATACATTTGATTTCGTGGTTTTCTTTTGATGGGTTTTTTTTCTCTCTCTTTTACCAGAAATTTTAACATGAGTTTGATTCTTATGGTTTTCAATCTGATGTTTTTGGATGAATTATTAATTGAAGTCTTTCTTCTCGCTAGTATTTTTAGTTGTGGTTAGGCTGTGGAATTTTATTTTATTTTTTTTCATTTCCGTTATCAAGTGGTTCGATAAGAATCTGTATGTTAAAAATCCGGGTTACCTTACAACTAGTGATAATTATTGTTTCAAATCAAATTTAGTAGCATCAATTTTATAACAGTGCTAACTTTCCTCCGGTCGGGTAGACTAATGTGTTCAAGAGTTAAATTTGTTGGTTTCGATTTCGCCACCAAGTGTGCCTCCTTTTTCATTTTAACTATGACAATACACGGCTGCTAATTTGCGTAAAAGTTTCAGAGATGATATTATGTGTGCTTGTCTTCAGTTTTGTGGACACATTGTTAGTTATTTTATAAAAGCTGATGATATCCTTTTGGATGCAGGTTCTTAACTCTCATGGGGTGGTGTTAGTTGAATTTTTTGCACCTTGGTGTGGCCATTGTAAAGCTCTAACACCCACATGGGAAAAAGCAGCATCAGTCTTGAAAGGAGTAGCGACTGTGGCCGCTCTTGATGCTGATGCTCATCGGTCGCTTGCACAGGTTTTCTTCCCCTTTTTTTTTATACATTTTACTTCGTACGTGATATTTACTTTTCTGTGAAGGAGAAGAAAAACTGCTGTCATCTTACAATTATTTTGCTTTCCTTTTTTTTCCTTCTTTTTTAGGTCTATTCTTTTGTTGCTGGATACGTTAGAACTTTGTCAGTCCTTGATGAGTGTATTTAGATGTATAAAGCATCAGTCATGATTTTACTGAATGTTCTTTTGTGCTTTCGGGTAAAATGTAAATATATATTACCACCATCAAAGGTGGAATATTTACAGACTGATGTAAGTGTAATCTGAATGTTATATACATAATTTCTGCAGATTTTCTGTAGTTCTATTTTATTTATTTATTTTTTTTTTTGGTTTCTTGTACTTAGCTGCATGTATGTGTCACAGGAGTATGAAATTTCAGGGTTTCCTACCATCAAGGTGTTTGCACCAGGAAAACCCCCAGTAAATTATGAAGGAGCTAGGGATGTCAAGGCAATTGTAAATTTTGCATCGCAACAGGTAATCACATTGTCAGCCAAATTCTTGAATGTAACGTATCTAAACCTTCATATAACCTGTTTTATTGCTCCTATCACACTTGACTATACCATGGGAGAAAATTAAATCTCGACTGCTGTTAATTTATCTATTTACTTTCCCTAATACTTTGTTTCTTCAAGTCCATTTTTATTCATTTTTTGATTAGATACTTTATCATGGTAGAGAGGGAGCCAATCTTAACTACTAGTAGATGCACTTTGTTTGTATTATCCAGTGAGTTTTGTGTATGAATTAGTAACTTGGTCAACACTTAATAGTTAAATATTTCTTTGGCAAGCTAGCTTGTGTAACCAATGTTAGAGAGATCTGCTCTGAACTAGTGGTTCAAAGAGAGAAGAAATGTTAAGGCTCGTTAATTTGGTAGGTTCTGAGTAATCCGAAGTATTTGTTGTTAAAAAGTAGTCAATGTGCAGATTAAAGCTCTCCTAAAAGAGCGGTTGAATGGAAAAGCAACCGGAGGATCAAGTGAGAAGTCAAGTGAGAAGAAGTCCGAACCTAGTGCATCAATCGAATTGAACTCTCGTAATTTTGACGAATTGGTGCTGAAAAGCAAAGATCTGTGGGTTGTTGAGTTTTATGCTCCTTGGTAAGTTCCCTGTATATTGTGATTGATCAATCCTCTCTTGTTTTGCCTTTCTCTGCCATATCCATATTCCGTTGAAAGATATTGTCACTATCCAGAGTCGTTAAGTCATTTTAGGTCAATTTTTTTTTAATTGCTGATCATGGTAAATACCTCAAATGTGCTATATATCCTGATAATGAGTATCATGAGCAACTGAGCCGTTCTTTTGTGTTTGCATTGAAAAGGAACAAGATGTCCTAAATACTCTCTTTGATTACTGTTCTCCATATTTGATATATTAGCACGAGATTTGATGAATGAACCTCTTATTCTTGCTGAAGGTGTGGGCACTGCAAGAAGCTTGCTCCTGAGTGGAAGAAAGCTTCAAATAACCTTAAAGGCAAGGTGAAATTGGGGCATGTGGACTGTGATGCTGAAAAAGTAAGTTCTAAAATCTTGTTATCATGTATATTGTTTTCGTCTTATATGGTGATATCCTCCCTTTGACACCACTTGATGACCATCAAAATCTTCTTTATTTTACCCTAATTATTATCATCATTGCATACTAGATTGATAGTTGGACACCTTTCTGTCATTGTGAAATCTGATATCGATTTTTAAGGTTTGACTCTTTTTCATTGCCTTCTTTTGTCTGCACTTCGTAAAGGAATAATTGTACAAATTTTGTCGAAGCTTACTTGCTCATTAGTTATGGGGACTGATAGAATGATGACTAAGTTCAAGAAATTTTGTGGTAAAAGAACATGAAAACCATAACTCATCTTTCAAGAAAATACTTGTCACGAGTAATGATTAGTTATTGATTTCCCCTAGTGATAATATTCCAACACCCCCTTGTGTGGCCGTACTCTGTTGTTTCAGAAGAGAACTTTCACTTCCAATAGGCCATTGGTTAAACGGTTTATCCAATACAAAAACTTAGCAGGAGTATATATATCATCTGGTAAATTCTATTATAATCTGTCCCAAAATAATTGTCGTGTTCGATATATATATATATATATATATATATATATATATATACATATATATATGTGTGTATGTATATATATGTATGTATGTATGTATGTACTGATTAAGAAGTACTGTATTTTTATTGAACAATTAGAAAAGTCTACTAGTAGTAGTACTACGAGTCTACAACATATTGCATTGACAAAGGCTTTGGTACAAATTTCAATTTTGTGGGAAGCATGAAATACTGCTGCAGTCCCAAAAACCATCATCATGTTTGTACAATGTAGATGCCATGATTAGTCATGATTTTCATGCAAAGAGTATTAGTCGAAATTTTTCTGCTGTGGAGAGCTAAAACAATTACGACTAGGCTTCTTGAAACTTTGAGTGAAAGTTATCATGTTCCTTTTAGCCTCATGGTAAATGCTCAAAATTCGGGTTAGATCGGATTGTGTATGTGTCGAATGATCTTTTCTTTTTTTGGTTTTTAACTTTATTTAGTTTCGTATATTCATTGAGATGCCAGATCAAATACATAGGCCTTTATTTTATGGATTTTCCGAAGATTTGGCATATAATAATGTATCAGTCGTGTATGCACATATTTTTGATGGCTTTAAAAAAGCAGGCAAGTTGGAGAGCTTAGGTTGTGAAGTTAAGGGTCTAAAGACTCATTAGCACAAGCACAGAACACCATTTCGCATTACTGGCTTTAGTTAGTCATGATGCGAGTGGTTTTTTCTCTATAACTTAAGATATACAAACTTAAGGAATTACTTTGTTGCAGTCTGTTAAAACTAGATATGAGATCGAACTTATAGGTACCTTTTCGCATTCATAGGAGGGGACTGCTTTATTTGTCCTTGAATTCTCTGAGAGGCATATTCCTAACCATGTTAAGTTGCCAGTCTCTGATGAGCAGATTTAATGTACAAGGATTTCCCACAATCCTGGTGTTTGGTGCGGACAAAGATACCCCTATTCCTTATGAAGGTGCTAGAACTGCCTCAGCTATTGAATCATATGCTTTGGAGCAGCTAGAAACTAACGTGGCACCTCCTGAAGTTGTAGAGTTGACTGGCCCGGTAAACAATCTTATGCTTCTTGATCCCTTGAATTGAAGACTAGGAAAGATCTCATCATTACTGGAAGGAGTTCTTTTCCATTTTCTAGTGAACTGCCTAAGATTTTAACCTTTGGTTTATCTTTTTTTTTTAAGGATGTCATGGAAGAGAAGTGTGGTCCAGCAGCTATTTGTTTCGTCTCCTTCCTACCAGACATATTGGACTCCAAGGCAGATGGTCGGAATAAGTATCTTGAGATGTTACTATCAGTTGCTGAGAAGTTCAAGAGAAGTCCGTACAGGTAAGAATTGGCTTTTAGTTTTGATGTCTCAAACTTAATTGAAATCAGCAAACTGAGCCAATTATTTGGGGAAATTTGCAGCTTTGTTTGGTCAGCTGCCGGCAAACAGTCTGATCTAGAAAACCGCGTTGGTGTCGGTGGGTATGGCTACCCAGCAATGGTAGCTCTTAACTTGAAGAAAGGAGTTTATGCTCCTCTCAAGAGTGCATTCGGGCGCGATCAGATCATGTAGGTTTATTTCTTTCCGTTTGCTCAGTTGTGCTGCTGCTTTTGAGGAGCTAACTCTGCATAATTTCTGTCTTCAGAGAATTTGTAAAAGAAGCTGGACTTGGTGGAAAGAACAACCTAGCTCTTGAGGGCACTCCTTCCATCACGCTTACTGAACCATGGGATGGCAAAGATGGGCAAATCCTCGAAGAAGATGAGTTTTCACTCGATGAATTGATGGGGGATGATGACACTTCCAACAAGGATGAGTTGTAATTGTTGTTAATGTCAATTACCAATCTTGGCGGGGTGAAAAACAAAATTTTGACATAATTGTGGTTGGGAGGCATCTCCATCTTTTGTTATTATAACAACAGGATGTTGACTGTATTTGCTCCCAAGTGTATGGCACCTACTTTGATCCTTGAATCGTCTACTACTAGTCCAAAGGGAGGTATTTAGCTGATGGAAGGTGTGTAAGAAGAAAAGATTGATTTTAGTACATGGTTTTAGTTTTTGTGAATGGTGGTATATCAAGCAATCAAAGCACGTGTCACAAATTTCCTCTTTTTTTTTCAAACCTTTGGTTCTAATCATCTTAACAGTTGAGAGGCTGAGGCTTAGTGTATTCTTGTAACCCAATGCCTAGTGGTTAGTACCTAATTATTCAATGCGGGTGAAGACAAATACTACTACAAAGTCACAAATTTAAACTTCTTCCTGATGACGTTGAGATCAAATTTTATGTTTCATAATTACGGATGGTTAGAGTATCGAAACAAGGAGTCCTTCCAATCAAAAGTCAAAACAGGGAATGTATGATCGTCATTTTTCCTCCAATAAAAAAGAAGAATGTAATGCTTCCAAGGATAAAGCAAAATACATGCATGTAAATGTATCACAATGTATCATATTTTTCAAAAATTTGTAATATGATGAATTCTAAATGTTGAAGTGCTTGTTTAGACGTCATCTTACATTTCATTTTGCCACTTAAAAGTGGGAAGTGTTTCAACTTGAAAACTAAATGGGAAATGAACATGTTGTTTGGATGGTATTTTGAACAAAAAATTGTTTGGATGTTGGTTTTGAAAAAAATATTTTGAACTACATTTTGAAAATATCAAATACGAGTCATCACTAAATAATTAAATACTGTCAATTATAGTCACTGCAAAAAAAACTTTTCCAAAAACAATCACTCAACAACGGAATCCTGCCAAATTTGTCACTGAACTATTTGTAGTTCTAAAATGATCATTACACTAACAAAAAGTGTTTCAAGTTGGAATTTAAAATGTAAATCAGAAAATTGTTTGGATGATGTCTTCTTTTCCATTAGGTTTTGTATTTAAGAGGTAAAATGAGTTAAAATGTAAAATGAGTGGACGTTCAATCATACCTAAATTACCGAAATACTATTTTTTTTTAACTTAAAGTACAAGTATGAATTTTATTAATTTATTCATATTTTAAAAAACTAAACTATCATATCGAGATGAACGAAGTACACCTACTTTTTCATTGCCCTTAATTTGATTTTTCCTAGTATTTTTTTAGGATATATGTTCCTTAAATTCTTGTCATAACATATTTCTCTATCCAAATTATTTATAAAAAAAAAAAAACAAAGAAGAGTTTAGATAAGAGAAAATAGTTCTATAACGAAAATAGTTTGGTTTGATTGTTAGAAGTTTGACGATTCCAACGTGACGTATTTGTTAATGAGGTGGACACAATGCAATATTATAGATTGACTTTTAAAGAACATATATGAAAAATAAGAGAAAATCTTGAAAAATAAAGCATTCATTCAATCAGATCGATTTGTCAAATTCTCTCTCTAAAATTAAAGTTTTGCTCTCTCCTCAGTGAGAGTACAGCCCTCCCCTTTTAGGAAGGAGTTAGTTTTTTCAAAAATTTTCAAAAACTTTCAAAAAAATTCGAAACTTTTTAAAAATTTCAAAATCTTTCACCGAAAACATGAAATTTTTTTTTAATTTATCATATAGGTTTTACTAGTTTGTACTATTTTTGAAAAAGGAATGGCAGTGTATGAATGATTTATTAATCTGGTCGGCACAATAGCACTTTCACAATTTTTAGTCCAACATATCATTGAATACCATAAACCATTATTTTGCCCTTCTAAATTTCCATCTCTCTTTAATACTTTATTCCCGGCATTTACTAACATTCAGGAACTCTGCCACCTCTATTGGTTATCAGTGCGGAATTCTCGAAGCCGGTGTAATAGTATGGAAGTACGGAAGGTGAAATCTTGGAAAAATTTAAAACTTGCTCTCTCTCTAAAAATGAAAGTGGCAGGGTGAAAATTGGGGCAGAAGATACAAGAAAAGGGACTGAAGAGGGTGGTCGTTGTCTCATCGGAAAAGTTTTTGGGGAGAAAAAAGTTAACTACTATGGCATAAAAAATGCTCTGGAACGACCATGGGCCACAAAGGACTTGTTAGGGTGGATAAATTGCAGGCTAATAAATTCCAATTCGTCTTCTCAAATCCAGCAGAAAGGGACATGGTGATGAGGCAAAGGCCTTGGTCGTTTGATGGCCATTGCTTAGTCCTAGAAAGGTGGGAGGAAAACATAGATTACGATGCGGAAAGCTTCAATTTTTCGCTGATTTGGGTCCAAATCTGGAATGTACCTCTTCACTGGATCTCAAAGGAGACGGGTCGGAAGCTGGGAGCCATTCTTGGAAACGTTCGCGATGTTCTGATTCCAGATGTGGGAGGGACAGAATATCGGCACATAAAAGTCTTGGTGGAGATGGATCTAAGGAGGTGATTGGAAAGAGGTACGCTCCTGGAATATAACGAAAAAGAGGTACGAGTGCTTTTCAAATACAAAAATTTGCCAAGTTTTTGTCATTACTGCGGTAAGATAGGTCATGTAGAGAAAGGATATGGGAAGAGAGCAGAAGATTTAGAGAACAATTGTTTACAAGAAGGAGAATTTGGGGCGTGTTTGTGGGTGGGATATTGGAAAGATGAGCCTAGAGAAACACAATTAGATGCTGGGGAGAAAAAGGGGAAGGAAACGAGTGATGGGGGTATAAGGTATGCTCAGGGTACTAAAAGTGAGATGGGGGAAATAGGGCTGGGTAATGAGAATTTAAAAGAAGGAACCAGCTTGAAGAATGGGGGTTTTGTTTCTGTTACTGGGGAATCAAGTGAATGTACTAAGAGTGGGGAGCAAAAGCTGGATAACAAGAATCAGGTTAAGGAACAGGATGGTGAGAAAAAGGGTGAAGGAAGTGGATTGAAAACGTGGGCGGAGAGGGTATCGAGTAATATAACAAAGACTCAGAAGGACGTTCAAGGAATCAATGAGCGCCCAACAGTGAGTCATGAAGAAGGCTCCTTTAATGGGATGCAAACGTTAGCAGATTCGGAGGAAAGGGCTCAGAGAGCTGGAGTGATACCTAATTTCTGTGAAGGGAGGGGAGACTGGGGAGATAATGATGAGGAGATAGAAAAGAATGATGCTGAGGATGTCATGTCTGATGAAAATGAGCCTTTTCTTGACTTCAATATGCAAAATGAAAGACAGGTCTTGGGGGATGTTACGAATGTGGAACTTCACAGGAGAGGAAATGTAGAGGAAATGGGGGGAAGGAAAAAAGGACAGTGGAAGAAACAAGCAAGCATGGGTACAAAGAATCAGAATGAAACAAAAAAAGGGGAAAGAAGTGATGATAGGGTTGATGGCTGGTAAAAGAATCAGAGGATGTGCAACTGAAGGGGAAAACTAGGAGAACCCCCAACAGAAAAGGTCAAGGCCAAATGATATGAAGGATGATCAGGGGGTGCTACTAATGCCATAAGGAGTGAAAAAAACAGTGATATATTGAATGGGGTGGGGGTAGCCAGCCTTGAATGGCCCCAAAGTCTCCAATGAGAGTCATCTCGTGGAACTGTAGAGGAATTGGCAGTCCCTCTACAGTTTCACAACTAAAAGAGTCGTGCCGGCTCTATAAACCTGATTTGGTTTTCCTTTGTGAAACCAAAAGAAAGAGTGGCTTTGTGGATACAGTGGGACGGAGTTTAGGGTTTAGAAATTGATGGTATGTGGTGGATCCTGTGGGGCGTAAAGGAGAGATGGTTTTAGGCTAGAAGGAGGAGGTAATTATTTATAATATTTCAATTTCACCATTTTCGATTGAAGTGGAATTTGAGACAAAGGAAACTAAGGGTAGGATGTAGGGGGTGTTTGTATATGCTAGTACGGATGGGGGGGAGAGGGTTAAACAATGGGAGGAGTTGGAAGGGAAACAGAGCAAGTGGGGTTATAGATGGTTCATGGGGGAGGGGATTTTAATGATATCAGGGAACAGGGTGAGAAGTACTAGTAGTTTTGAAGGATTCAGAAATTTTATTTCTCAAATGAATATGGGGAAATTGGGTTTAAGGGTAGAAGCTGGACATGGGCCAATAATAGCGTGGGGGAGGCTATATTGAAGAAAGATTGGACCGATTTTTCGGGTCAATGACGTGGATGCTAGAAAATGAGAAAACTCAAGTCTGTCATGTGGAGAGAATTTCCTCAGACCACTGCCTGCTGTTACTAGACACTGCACCTGAGAAGAAATGGAAAAAGACCCGTTTCTACTTTGATAAGAGGTGGATCAAGAAGGAGGGAGTTACTGAAGTTGTTAAGAATGCTTGGGAGGAGGAAATGGAAGGCTCTCCAATGCATAAGCTCTCTGTGAAAATAAAAAAGTGCAGAGTTGAGTTACTAAAATAGAATAGAAGACAGGAGTCTAATGCTGCGAAAAAGATTAAAGAGATTGGTCTTGAGTTGGAGAAACTGAAGCTCTTACAAGGAGATAGGGATTGGGTGAGATGGAAGGCACTATCTAAACAATTAGAAAAAGCCTATGAGGAGGAGGAAGCTTACTGGGCTCAAAAAAGTCGAACTACATGGCTATAAGAAGGGGATAAGAACACTAAGTTTTTTCATGCATCCACAGTTCAAAGAAGGCAAAGAAATACAATAGAAAGGCTTTAAAGTGAGGATGGGCTATAGTGTGAAGGGGAAGAAGGAGTTGTGGAAGAGGTGGAAAAATTTTATAAAGATCTCTTCACGCCGGAGGATACTTTTGGGTGGGAGCCGTCATTAGAAGATATACCAAACACTATTACACTGGAGATGAATTCGACACTGATCCGGCCTGTGGAGGAGGAAGAGATCAAGAATGCTCTATTCAGTATGCACCCAATGAAAGCACCTGGCCTTGATGGTATGACCCCCTTATTTTACCAATCTTTTTGGTCAATTGTTAAGATAGATGTATGTAATACTATGAAAAGTTTTTTTAGATCAAATTGCATGCTGACAACCTTTAACCATACCCTTATATCCCTTATCCCCAAAATAGATAACCCAACAAAAATTGTGCATTACCGACCTATAAGTCTATGTTCTGTCATTTATAAAGTGATTTCAAAAATTCTTGCTAATAGACTAAAACCACTTCTGCCTTTTTACATTAGCGACAACCAATCTGCCTTTTTGGCTGGGAGGCAGATTTTAGATCATGTTGCCATTGCGCATGAGTATATCCACTACTTCAATAACCTAAGAACAAAAAAAGAGGAATATATAGCTATTAAATTAGATATGGCTAAGGCGTATGATAGGGTAGAATGGAGATTTCTTGCAAATATGCTCATAAAAATGGGGTTTGATCTCTTGTTTGTGGGGTGGATTCTAGAATGTATACAGACTGCGTCTTTCTCTTTCAATATCAATGGGGTAACCAAGGGATACCTAAAACCATCTCGAGGGATTAAGCAAGGGGACCCACTATCCCCGTATCTCTTTTTGATCTGTTCAGAAGCATTCTCAAATTTCATCAATAGGGCAGTGAGGGGAGGGGATTTTAAGGGAGTTAAAATAAGCAATTTTGGTCCTGAAATTACCCACTTATTTTTTGCGGATGATACATTATTATTTTGCAAAGCTGATGTATGTCAAATTCAATGCTTGAAAAGCATCATGTCTGAATATAGATTGTGTTCTGGACAGAAAGTGAATTGGGATAAATCTTTAGTGTTTTTTAGCAAAAATGTATCTGTGGCTAAAAGGAATTTAATGTGCAAAGCTAAATGGCATTAGTGTACACGTGAAATCAAAATATTTAGGACTCCCACTGGTTATTGAAAGATCAAAATCAGAGGTCTTTCAGTATGTCACAGAAGCTGCCACCAACAAAATCAGAAGCTGGAAGTGCAAGTTCTTGTCTACGGCTAGCAAGGAGATTATACTTAAATCAGTGGTACAGGCTATGCTCCTTTACGCTATGTCTTGCTATAAACTAACAGCTAATGTTTGTAGTAAGATTGAAAAGCAGATGGCAGCATTTTGGTGGGGAGATGGGGAAAATAAACGGAGAATGCATTGGGGTTCCTAGGAGAAAGTAGCTGTGGAAAAGGAAAGAGGATGGCTAGGGTTTAGGAATCTAAGCTCTGTAAATGAAGTCTTGCTGGCCAAACAAGTCTGGAGGTTGATCTCAGAACCTAACACTCTGATGTCTAAGGTTATGAAGGAGAAATACTTCCCCAATTGTACCATTTTTCAGGCTCAACAAAAAGGTACGGATTCCTGGCTGTGGAAGGGGTGGCTAGAGGCAAGTAAAGGGCTACATCAAGGAATAAGATGGAGGATTGGAGATGGCAATTCAGTAAATATATGGTCAGACAGGTGGGTTCCAGATGATTGTAATGTAGGGGTACAGAGAAGAAATGATGAGAATCAGCATTTAAGTACAGTGGGGCAACTTATTGATCCAATCGCTAAAGAGTGGAAAGCTGAATTGCTGGGCACTATACTACTGCCAGAAGAGGTGGAGCAAGTACTGAAAATGCCACTTAGTAAGCTGGGAAATCAAGATATCCAAGTATGGGGTGCTGAACAAAATGGCAGATTTTCTGTAACTTCTGCATTCAAGGAGATCGAAAAACACAAAGCAGCTCAGAGAAGACAGAGGGAATCCAGCTATGGAAGCGAGGTGATGAAAAAGGTATGGTCTCGAACTTGGAAACTTGCAATTCAAAATAAGCTAAAGCGCTTTGTGTGGAAGCTATTTAAGGGCTGGGTACCAGTTAATTCTGTACTTAAAAAGAGGGGGGTGAAAGTAGAAGAAATATGTTGCAGGTGTGGTATGGGGAATGAAAGTATAGAACATATGCTTTTTACTTGTGAATATGCCAAGTTATTTTGGGAGCTTTCCCCTGTCAAATGGGATGGATTGCAGGATAGATCTGGTAACTTTCCAGATTGGTGGAAATCTTTGATAATGATTGATAAGGGGGGGGAATTGAAATCAAGAGTGAAAATTACTGTATATTTGTTGTGGTCCTTGTGGAAAACTAGAAATACGTGGGTTTTTGATAATCAGAGAGTGGAAGCTTTGGAGGGGGTGCAAAAAGCTATGAAGAATTGGGATGAATATGAACAGTTGCAGGAGAAAAAGGAGAGAGACAGGGAAAGAAGGGATGAGGAACAGCCTCAGAAGTGGAAAAAACCTAATCAAGGAGCTGTTAGAATCAATGTTAGTTCCTTAATGGCTGCTAGGAAGAAGGAAGCAGGGTTGAGTTGGGTTTTCAGAGATGAAAGAGGTAAGTTTGTGGCTGCAAAATAAATACTGTTAAAAGCGGCCCTGAATGCCTTTGCAGCTGAACTGGAAGCAGTTAGATCGGCAATGATGGAAGCACAGTTGAAAAGAATGAAGAATATAGAAGTCCAATTAGATGACAAGACTATGGTTGCCTGGTTGCAGGGAATAATTTTGCCTGCTTCAGATGTGATAGCTATAGTCAAAGACATCTTTTGGCTGAAATCCTTATTTGATAGTTGTAAATTTTTGTATATCCGAAAAGAATGGAACTCATCGTGTCACAATCTAGCCAAATTAGCAATTTCTAATAAGTGTTTATAAATGTGGGATGGTAATGTCCCTTTGTGGTTAGACGAGGCGTTTAAGGCGGATTGTATTACTACTTTGTAAATGCTCCTTTTGGTTTTTTTATGCTTTGAAATGAATATCGCTTTAGAGAAAAAAAAAAAAAAAAATCAGATAGATTTGTCTAAGCTACACTTTTACACCAATGCAGACAGACCCCCGTTCCGCCGCCACGTGTCTCATTTTCACTCTGTTACTGTCACTATCTTCTTCCTCCCCTTTACCATCAACGCCTCCTACTGTGTGCATCATCGGCAGCGGCATCGGCGGCTCCTCGGTTGCTCACTTCCTCCGCCGCTACACCACCTCCAACCCTCACAATGTCACCGTCGGCCAAATCAGAATCTTCGAGCGAAACGGCCATGTCGGAGGCCGAATGGCCACTGTTACGATTGCCGGCGAGACGTTCGAGGCCGGCGGTTCCATCCTCCATCCGAAGAACTACCACGCTTTGGAGTTCGCCAAGTTACTCAATCTCACTGTGAAAAACCCTCCCTCTTCCTCCAAGTGTTTGTCATTGGGGATTTGGAACGGCGATAAGTTTTTATTCGAAACGTTTTGGACGAATTCCGGATATTCGATCGTTCGGAGGTTCTTCTCGCTAGCTAATTCGGTTAAGATGTTCCTCCGCTACGGCCGTTCGCTCCTCCGTATGTCTCATCTTGTCGAGGTACTCAATTATGTTCCTTACACTGTTTGCTAATTGCTGATAATACAATCTGTGAAGGACCAGGTGCAATTTAAATCCTTTTTTCCCCTTCTGTTTTACTGGATTAGTTATGGCTTTTTGACTGATGAGATGATGATCAATCGAGTAACAAGTGTGTGTATATTCATACAATTATCTCTTATCATTTACGGATACCTCTCACGAAATAAATGGCTACCTCTATTTTCTGCCACTGCTTCATCATCATAGACTATAATGTAAAACTTATGATCCATCAGAATTGTTTTGTCCTGGAATGACGTTGATCATTTCAAGACTAGCTGATCCTGTACCATCCCAATGGGCTGCTGCGGAATTTTGTTTATCATTTACATGGAAATATGGCTGGTAGAGTATATGACCGGTTTGAAATAGGAAGAGATAGTATTGATGGATGAGTATTGATTTACGGATAGTCATTGGCAAAGTATTGATTAATAAGTATCCGTGTCCCTCCTCTTTTCCGGGCTAAGGTGTCTGCCTTTCAAAGGCAAAAAAGTAACTTAAGGAGTTGATTTCATCCTTCACTTCAATAAGCCTTAACTCCTGATTGCATTAAAATGATGGAAATTGAGCTGACCTGTCTGGCTTCACCTTACTCTGGCTTTGCAATTTAGATATATGGCTTCCATGTAGGCGCACGGCCTGATAAACAAGTATGCAACTTATTTTCCCGACTTTGCAACGCGAAAAAAATAAATAAATAAATAAAAATAAATAAAAAACTGTTTGAGGATTGAGAAAGAAAGTACCTAAGCATTGTCAGCGAAATTTCAGGGGCGTATTTGAATGCTTTCTGGGCTAGGTCCAATGATTATTTGATAAGTACCTTGTGTCAGAATTGAGAAATTTTATGGCTCAGATCTCTAGTATTCTGTTATTTATTACCTTTATCTACTATTAGGAAGAATGATGTTCCCCATTCTTGCTAGCCACAAGTCATCTTTATAGCCTTATTAATTGTCTTGAATGCTGTACTTTGTACATTACAGGACACTCTTGGTCGATTTTTGAAGTACTATGAAGCATTTGAGTCTCGGCCAGTGTTTGAGAGCGTGGAGGAGATGCTAAAATGGGCAGGACTGTATGATTTGACGGCAGAGACTCTTGAGGAGGAATTGTTGAGAGCTGGGTTGTCTCCTCTACTTATTCAAGAGCTTATCACTGTAAGCAATTAGTATTACCGTATGTGTACTTAATGTGCCCATTCTTTTGTTTCTTTTAGACATAGTGCACCTATTTTACTCCTTGAAGGTTATAACTTACAGTTGAAGACTTAAATGTAGTTGCCTATCTTCAATTTTGCCAAAGTAAATAATAATAATTTTATTTATATTTGCTTTTTTGCAAATTACGTTAACAGTTTTATGAATTTTAAATGTCCTTGTCTTTTCTTCTCAATGAAACTGGAAAATGGTGTATTATAGTTTTCTATCCAAAGAGAGAGTCTAGTTTTGATCTCATCTTCTAAATTCGGAGATGTCTATTTTGCCTTTCTTATGTGTTCCGATCATGAGAAGGTCGAGAATAAATACATATATGTGGTGAATTATATGACGAAAAGGCAGATTTATAGAAATAGTGGCAATAATCATTAATTTCATAGTTGTGGAGGACTTTAGACTGCATTTACTGGCCACTAGTGGTGGCTGGCTGGCTAATTGGCATTGCCTAAACCAATCTATCCCACGGAAAAGTTTGAAACTCAATCATGTTATCAACCATTTCCTGCAAAATGATTCTAGATTAAGCAGCTTGTGTAGGTCGGTCATCATATATAATGGATGGATATTATACAAAGCATTAGGTGATTTCTGATATTATTCTCTCTATTACTACTGTAGTTTTTACTTCTTTTACCCCATCTCAGGTATCTTATTAGATTGAAGGAGTGTTAGGGTTCTGAATACTGGCAACATTAAACATGTGAAGTATTAATCCCTAAGGTATTCTAAGAGACTAAGTAAGCCCTAAAAAGGCCACTATGCAGATTCATCCTAACATGGGGCTGAAATTAGAAAACTGCTACATCATGAGTAAGCTGACCCACTGGATGGGAAAAATATTACTTATTTTCATTTTCATACCATAACTATGCATATTCTTTAATGAAAAAACATGATGAATGTGTCAGTATTTTGTGCAACTGTTTCTATTTGTTTCAGTTAAATTATATTGTCATAAAACTGTATTAAAATATTTTGTTTTGTGCAGGTGATCACAAGAATCAACTATGGGCAAAGTGTCAGCATCAGTGGCCTTGCGGGTACAGTTTCTCTGGCAGGGTCCGGAGGAGGCTTATGGTCTATTGAGGGAGGAAACTGGCAAATGGCTGCTGGACTGATTAATCAATCCAACATTGTTTTGCACCTTAATGAAGAAATAAAATCTCTTTCTAACAATGCTGGTTTGTATGAGCTTAATTCATCGTCAGGCGGGAGTTACACATGTCATGTTGCTGTAATTGCGACCCCCTTAGATGAGGTGAATTTGAAGTTTACACCAAGTGTTTCAGTTCCTAAGAGAAAGTTACAACACACCTTTGCCACTTTTGTTAGGGGCTGTTTAAATCCCGTGAGTTTCGAAATCCTCTTCCTCATGATCTATTTTGTATTGTAGTTTTGCTGTCTCTGCTACTTATAGCTAGTTTGTTTGGAAAGGATTTTTTTGGCCTTAGGAGGGTGTCAGACATCCCAGAATTGATCGGCACCACTGAGACTTCTCGGGTACCATTCTCAAGCATTGGTACTCTCAAGCAACATAATGAGGAAGACATGACATACAAGGTTTTCTCTCGCCAACCTTTGTCCGAAGATTTACTGGATGAGATATTTAGGTAAGACCTTTGGTCAAGTCTTGATAGCATTTGAGTGACATCAATTTTTGCCATGCACTCATCTTGCAGTGCAGTTATAAGCTTTTCTGCATTCTGTTCTTTGTTGAATCTTGATATTCATCATCAAACTGCAGTGTGAAGTAACTGAATCTTGATATTCATCATCAATTGGGCTATTACTGGGTTAAGATTATTTACTTGCTCAATTACGGTATTGACAACGCAGCACAACACATTTCTCTTTTTCGTTACTTTTTTTTCCTTTTGTCCACTTTTGGCTTTCAAATTATAAGGGGAAGACCTACAAAAGACTTGGAAAGAAACTATTACAATAGATGAAGCAAATAAATTGGAATGAAAATTAGTGTGTTGACCTAGCATGATGGTAACATATGATCCATAAAGCCTGACAAACAGTAGGAGGATAATGGTTTCTTGTTGTTTCCCTCTTTTGACTTAAAATGGATGAACATATATATAGCATCCGATTTGTTGATCCGTAAAATCCCAAAGGTGTAGATTCTGGAAACCATTTTCATTCAGAGTTCTTTGTAGAGGCCTAATGTTTGCATTCTGAGTTCTCAAAATTCATAATCCTGTATTTAGGCTCGTACATTCAAACTGCTACTGCATTACTTATTGCTCCTTATCTTTCGCAGGGTGAGAAATGAGACCATCAGAATAAATTGGGCCGCATACCCTCAGTACCACGCTCCTGAGAGATTTGCACCATTAGTTTTGGATCAATCGCATCTCTACTATGTGAATGCATTCGAAAATGCAGCTAGCACGATGGAAACTAGTGCTGTTTCTGCAGAGAATGTCGCTCGTCTCATCATTTCGAGACTTTCTAGTCATTCCCTTTCGTTCACATCAGACTTGAAGAGTTTGGACAATCACAAACAGCAACTGCATTCGGATCTCTGAAGTTGTCTGTAGCTGCTGTATGTATACATGTAAGTGCGGCTTGTATGTGTGTTGTGGTTTGTATAATAAGGTGTATATATATGTATGTATATACAGTTACCATAAACAATTGCGGTGACTCTGTTTCACCCAAAGAAAAAAAAAAAAAAAAGAAGAAGAGGTTTATAATGATGTTGCAATACATTTAAAGGAGATTTTAACTAATAACGCTGTTACATTCTGGATGAAATGTAGTTTTTCTTCTACATTATCTTCTTACAATATACAACCAAGAATCAAAATGAAGAATTATATTAATCCTCATCCGGGACAAAAATTAATATGTGGGGGGTAACAAATACTTTTTCATGACAAAGGAATTGGAAATTCATCGAAGTATTTAAGGCCATAACCACCGTGTCATATTTTCCTTCCAAGGAGGCTTGACCGGCAGATCACCTCCAGGCTCTGACAAGGCCCTGAACCCAAATAACAAGATCTCCTCCTCCGGCTACACCCCAAACCCGAACGGCTCCAAGTCCAACGGAGCCAATAGCAGAACCGCCCAGAGCGCAAAGCTGATTGCTTGAAGCTGATAAAGAACGAATAACATTAGGCCGAAGAAACAGAGCGTTATGAATAGAGGCCATATTATTTGATGAATTGTGGGGAAGCCCCCAAAATTGAGCAACATGGATCGGGATTTTGTTTTTTTGTTTTTTTTTTCTTTTTGGTTTCTTAGGAAACTTGGTTTGTAGTTTCTTCTAGTTTCTGTGTAGGCACTTGCCATTTTATCTAATACTCCCTCCGTCTTATAATTATTGTCCAATTTAGATTTTCATTTTTAGTTTAAATTGTACTAAAATTGAAATCTCAACTGGACAATAATTTTAGGACAGAGGAAAGGAGTATTTATTTGAAAGCAACTGGTAGACTTAATTGTTTATTTATTGCCACATTAATTAGATTCCAAGTTAAGAATTACTGTGACCAATTGGCAGTTGGTCCAATATAATTATCTTCTTAAGAAACCTTCTTTAATAAAACACATATTACATTCAAATTAATCCATTTTCAAAGTAGATCGATCTAGTATTCTTTAAAGTAGGTTTACAATTAATCAAATGTTTTCGTTCATGTTGAACCCTACATTGAAAAGGTTCAGACCAATCTAATATTCTTAAAAGTAGGTTTATTAATTATTCTTTAAAGTAGGTATATAATTAATCATATGTTTTCGTTCATTTTGAGTAACAACCATACATTGAAAAGCTTCAAGAGAGCTGGTCAAAGCTTTATGCAAAGCATCCACATTTCATTTCATCACAAAGATATGGATAAATGTTTTCCACATTGCAATTCTTTTTTGCTCTTACCGAGATACTACTAATTAGACAACCATTTATTATTTGCGTCGTTTGTGTCAATATCTCATAACAAATGAAAAGTTACAATTTGGCGGTTAAATATATAGGCAGGTCGCAGGAAGACCATTGACAAACACTCACTCGATTATTTGATAAATACAAAATTTCCTCATCATCCTGACTTTTAACAACAATCGGACTTCGAACAGTAGGCAAGCCTTTTTTTTTTTTTTTGAAAGAAACAGTATGAAAGCTGCAAATGACGAACATGCCTTCTTTTAAAAGAAAATTATAGACACTCCCATTGAAAAGCATCCCACGGCAACCCAAGGGCTTAAGCGCTCACCTGAATATACAAAAGCTCAATAGTTAAAATCACATGTTCATAGAGAAAGTATTCCACGATTCAGTTGTCCATTACATGATAATCTAATCGGGATAATTCACGTGTGATTGTCACAACTCATACAAGGAAATCATTACATCACAGATTTCTCAAAAAAAAAAAAAAATTTGTGCCTGATGGCATTCAGCTACCCCTAATTTTCCTACCAAATCAGTTGGGCATCAAGGTAATCCTACAAACTATCAGGAAGGTTGAAGAGCTCGTGAACACTTGAATATATCTTGAAATCTAATAAATAGCATAAGTATTCAAGACAGCAGACAACCATAACAATTTTAGCTTGGCATGACCAAAAGGAGGAGGCAAGCAGTTCACGATTTCATAAACACGTATGGCATGTTTCAATCGTTGCCTACGAAAAAGTTAATATGTAATTTTAGTTCTGTTTGAACTAAGCCAGCTAAATTGAAACTAAAAAGAATTCAACACATTATATAATCATGAGAAATTGTACCACCCCTTTCCTTTTCTTCAAGGAAAAAGAGCAGAAGACATTCACAAGGTCTCATGGCAAACAAACCAAAATTTCTAAATATCTTACTTGGTATTTAACTACAACAGGAGAGAAAATGAAACTAATAGTTAGTTTCCAAGAAATCATCAGATCAAAGATAAAAACTTCAGGGAAAATCTACATCAGGCCTAATGTCATGGACTATGAACAACAAAATTATCAACTGATCCAAGAATATCATGTGGTGACTCACCTATTCTAGCAGCCTTCCAAAAGAAACCTCGAAATCTGAAATCAGAGGATGTAAAGAACGAATCAGTAACTGAAGCACTAAAGAGGCCATCACCAATTTGATCAAAGAGAAATCACTAGCCACAACCAATAACTAATCCAATGAATGCGATAAAGCAACCATGAAATGAAATTACTCCCACCAACACTACTAAGAAAGTAATATCTGCATTAGAATAGGTAGCTTCCATCATACAGGCACGACTACAAAGAATTAAAACAATGTTTATGTTTAATTTACATTAGAAGCGTGACACCACTGTGTACACACACTTGGTTTCCAAAAATTTGGAAGATGGGTAATAAGACTCTCTTACGTAGACATATTAGTATTACTATTTCATCATCATTTAATGAAATCATAATCTATGCTGAACTCACCCGAAGTAGGCAATGCCTTGCAAATTCAGTATTTTCACGGATACAGAAATTGCTACAAACGCAAACAGTTTAACAAGATCCACATGTCCTGGACGTTAAATACACATTAACTTAAAAATTCTAAGCTTGTATCAGCAAGGACAACCAGAGTCATTATTCTTCTATAATAAATTGTTGCCTCAAAAATTTTCAACAATACAACATTTATGGAATATAGCTGTGCCAAAATAATAAGATCATGAAAAAAATAAATTACCAGTTGCATTAATTAAGTGTTTTGTGGACATATCGTTATAAGTGTAACACATTATAATGCCAGACTACATTTTGAGCTGAGTAGACTTACCCTGTCCTCTGTTCAAGAAGTGCAGGAAAATGCATTTTAACATAAGTGCAGGTACAAATACCAAGCAGCACTACTGTAAGAAACGAGTGGAAGTTGAACAGCGCAGACTGGACATTGAGTGACACAAATATCAGCGAAAGCTACAGATAAATATTCAGGAAAAATAAATGCTCAATTGCAAACATTTCAAACTTAACATACCATATCAGTATTCTTCCTTCAGTGATTTTTACTCTTTTTTTTTCTGCAAACACAATAAGCATACAAATTATTTCAGCAAATTCTAGCTTGCAAAAAGAAGCAAGAGACTGATCTATAAAACCAAACTTAATTTCAAAGTTGAACAATAGTATTCTTGGCTTTCCTCGTACATTGAATATATGGTCGAAGCTTATTCAGAATTCAAAAGAAAAATGTCTCAGGAATATCCTTCACTCATGCATATATTACTGTAAAGAGAACACAGGATGCCGAAAAGATAAACTCCTACAACAACAATCATTTATAACAGCTATTTGCAGGTAAAGGGGTTAACTAGTTAAAGAGTAACATTTCATAAACTTAACCCTCATCCAAATTGGTGAGAAGAACATAAAAGACTAAATAATACTAAGTAAATCGCTAATGAATTTGTCAGAAATTATATCAGTTTCTCAAACAAGTAGATATCATATATATGCATGCCCATGGCCTCTCTTTTATCATAAAGAAATGGGTTGGAATCGGATGCTTAGAAAAAACACATCCTATAGGAGTTTTGGGTCTAGATTTGATTTCGAAACTGTAGAAGCTCTTTTCCAATACTTATTGGGTCTCATTGCAGTTTGAATTCAGTCATTCGCCTTAACAATGTTCAATGCTTTTCCATTCAAAGTCTAGAACTGATAATGTATTATGAAAATCATCTTCATAGTCTTCTCATCTATGTCTCCAATACTTCAAAACTAATCGATCACTCTACCGGATTTATATGATTGTCATGAATTTAATAAGTAAACTACATAATCGATTCCCAGAATCACTATTATAAAAAATAAAATAAAAATAAAAAAACGCTGGCATTTTCTAGTAAAACAAATTAAGAAGCAGAAAGAATCTTGAGCATAAATCTAGCACTTCCTAACCTACGACACAAGCGTTTTCAGAAGAAACAAAGTTCAAATAATTCACATGAATGAGCTGCAATCCAGTAAAGTGGAGGTCTAAATTTTCATCAACAAATTGAAAAAAATTGACCTAAGAACAGCATAATTTGCAGTACAATAAGACTAACGGATCAATTACCAGGGGTTGGCGGAAGCGGCCGGAATGCGGCAGCGACGACGGATGAAGAGGCTACTTATCTTTCTCGGTGACAACTGGATGCGTCGCGTTCCACGGCGGAAGGGAGGCCGGAGTGGAGAGATTATAGCCGACGATATGCTGCCTGAAGCTTTTTAAAAGGCTAGAGTCAGGCAAGGAAGAAAATCGAAATCGAGGGAGTTTTCCGTTTTCTTCTTCTTCTTCATCTTCTTTGGAAGTTTCCGTTTTGATCCTTGAAGTTTATTTAAATGTTCAAATTGTTTCCCCATTTTAATACGAAAACATTCTTCAAAAGTTGCGCAGAATGATATTTCGCTTATTGAATTGGTATCGATGCCCGTTTAAATTAATGAGGTTTTTTTTTTTTTTTTGAAAAGGAAATTAATGAGTTAGTGTTTAGTCAATCCATCCTTTCAAGTGTGTATGAAATATTTCATCATGTATAATATTTGTTTTTAATCTCATAATATTAAAACTTATGTATCGATTTAATTGATTCGTCCTCCATTTCAAAATTATTGTCTGATTTGGATTTTCATTTTTAGTACAAATTGAACTAAAAGGAAAAATTTAAATTGGACAACATGGGACACACCGACAGAGGAAGTAAAGATAACTTTATCATAAAATTTGTATCATCGTCACATTGAAGTGGTACAATTATTTATTTAACTCTTAATTATTCTATTTCCTTTCAATACTTCTAGTCTAGTCTATTTCAATGATCTTGTCATCCACATATACAACATGACCGAGTAGTACCTATTTCATCTATTTGGAAGACAAGATCATTATCGGAAAGGCCATTATAGAATACTCTAAGCTAGAAAGTAAAAATAAGTTATAAGTTATTATTAAAAAGGTAAAGTAAATCATGATCTTATGTGAAGAACTCGTGAACTAGGTTTCAAGTGCTATAGCCGTCTCAAATAAAATCGGTTTATCTTAAAACACCCCATTACTCGTGAACAAAGAATGTTTTTTTCAATCCTTGAGGTTTCGAAATAGTAATATCCAATTTAAACTTAGTACAATAAATATTGCGATTTTGCTTTAGAGTTGTTTGCAATAGACCCCTCTAGTTTCAGAATTTGGCACTTCACCGCACATTTTCAACTTTAGCAATTAACCTCCCATAACCGGGTAGAAAATAGATTTTGCAACGCTTACAAGTTATCATGTGGGGTGATATGTTTAGATTGATCAATATTGAGGAAAATTTTCAGGCATATTTAACACATTCATCTATGACTCAAGCGCAAATTACGATTTACATAGTACCAAAAAGAGGAAACATGAGAAAGTTTCAGATTTCAAATTTCACCACATGAATAGGTAATATTTAGCCTCAACAAAAATGGAATTCTTCAAGATCCTGGAGATCCTGAATAAATCTTTTCCCTAGTTTCATTCATAACTTCCCAAAAAGATAGAGATATAAAATCCTGCACTAATCTCCTACTTCAAGAGTAAATTGTGGTGAAATTCACTTGACATTTGCTGCAGCCTCCAAGTTGAAGCTAGAACAGTCCGCTACTCTTCTGCTTTTCCTTATCTGTGATCTTTAAACGGATGTCAACTCCAAAACAAAAAACTGGATGACGACGATAAATAAATGATACCTCAGTCAGATCTATCTCGTGAAACTTCTCTTGATACCGATGAACTAGGTAGGGTGTTGGGATGCACATGTTGAACTTTTTTAGAGACTGAACTTTGTGCCTTCTTTAGTGGCTCAGCATGTTTAGATGATTTCGGAGGATCTGTCTCAGCTGCAAGAAGAACCATCGGCGAACTCCACTGATATGGTGCAGTAGGTATACCAGGCAATGGAGATGGCATGCCAAAATTGTAAAGATAGAAATATCCAGGCCAAGGGTGATCAAACTGACAGGTTGGACCATATCTGCATAATCCGTATTGAGCATAATAGGCACATATAGGTTGCCCCTGTATAAGAGAGCACATAATCAAGGACTGATGGCAACAGAACACCATATGATCTCTGGGTCAATCAGGAGAAAAAAGATCATATCTTCCTCTTCCTCTTCCTAAGAATCATGGGAGGATATAAATCTTCATTTCTCCTTTTGCTCAGGTATTTTCAAAAGCTAATGTTGCAGATTGAAAATGAATTGGTTGATTCCACAGAAGGGAGATGACATGAGTAATGTATGCAGGACATTCTCATGAATATACAAAGGATCAAGTGCTTCCATCATCATAGAGTCATCAATTTTATCATTACTCCGCCAAAATTAAGAGCAGTAAGAATATGAAACAACTGAACAGAGAACCACTTCTGAAACAAGAACAGGGAATGCCGACAGATACTACAGCTGAAATATTCATCTACTACAGACAGGTACATGAGGTTCATTTTTTTTTTTTTTTTTGGAAAAGGTAACATGAGGTTCTTGAAACTGAAAGCATCCTTATTTTTATTTCAGTTGAATGCACATAAACAGGTACTAACTTCCGCTATAAATCTTTAGCTCTACTAAATGAGTTAGTCTTGGCTTCTTCTTCCTTTATGGAGACAGGGCAAGAATCACATTATTATTTATTCTTCTAACTATAAAGAGACAAAAGCCATAAATACCCATTTGCTTGCCAACTTTAAGGATTGCAAAGGAAAGAATTTGAAATTTTTTTTAGTTTCATTTTCACTTTTCATTACAAATTTTAAGATTCCCGAGATAGCGTTTTATATTTCCACTAAACATGTTGAAACTAAGACCAAACAAAAAAAACAAAATGGTTGTTTATGAGTTTCCGATAATCAACGGTAATAATTCCATCAATCTGCCTTATGCTTCTTTCTTTATCCCGATGTAATAACCATGCATGAAGACCCCTATAAAGGACATTGCAAGTTTAGGAAGGTGATAATCTACTCACAGGTCGAGATGGTAGCCCAAGTAGGCCAAGAGAACTTGGTAAAGTCCGAGGGTGATGATATTTGCAGTCTGCCCCATAACGACAGTTCCCAGTATTTACAAAGTCACGGCATTCAGGTCGGTCAGGTCGGTCAGGAAGATTAAAAACTGAGGGGGAAACATGCACCTGACTGTTGGAAGTTGGATTGGCAACAATAGCTGTAGCTGAAGACTGACCCATGGTTCCCTGCAGCCAACACAAAAGCGTGGAATTAGCAACATAAAATGGAAATATATAGTGGAGTCCACCATCCAGTCACAAATTCACCCACAATGCTTTCTAATGCACTTGTAAGAACATATACCACACAATTCCACAATTTTAGATACCATTAGCAAACGAATAAGTAAATGTTGGCCTAGATAGAGCTTTTGTTGTTCCTTCAAACAAGCAGAAAAACAAAGAGCAACTTTGATTTGATCAAAGGAAAGTATAGATGAGATGTTACTTGAATAGACAGAAATTGTTTCTTTAGTTAGCACTTCATCCAAAGAATGCTTTCAAAGGACAGCAATGCCACATCTCATTCACAAGGAGAAAGTATGGTAGAGGACAAAACAAAATCGCCGAAAAGGTAAAACTACTCACAGAAAGAAAGAATTTTTGTCCAAAATTCAACAAGAACCAGTAAGCTCATGTCACACCATGTTGAGTAAATGGTGTAAAATCATATGTTGCATCATTACCCCATTCAATACATGTTCTTATTAACACTGAACTAAATTACGTATCTTTTAATACTTTGTTTTCAATCTTTTTTAGGTCTTCCTCTCGCTTCCTTAATTGAGGTAAATATTGTTTTCTCTAGGTAAATATTGTTTTCTCTTTTGCGGAGTCATTTAAAAATATGTTGAACACATGTTAGTACTTCTTCCGTATGAAGGAGTTTTATAGTTCCTAAAAACAACTCCTCATTTTTTCAGGACATAAATCCTAGAGAACAATTTCTAAGTGTACATTATCAAATAAAAAACAGTAGTAATAAACTGGAGTCTAGTACTGCAGCTTTGTCCATCTATTACATACAAATAAATGAGACAAACCATGGTGCTCTAGCTTTCAAAGTATAGGAGTAAACTTTTGGATGGTATGAAGTTTTGTTATTTGATTGTTATTAAAATTAGAAGAAAAAAAATAAAAATAAAAAAATAATAAACACACACACATACACACAGAGAAAGAGAAAAAGGAAAATACAGATAAAAAATTTCATGTAAGCAAAAGGCATTTTCTGTGCATTTCAAGTAAATTAAACAAACTATGCAAAATATTTTACTCCTAAAGAAACTTTCTATACCTAACAATCATCTCCAGATAATCAAAAGTTGAAGTGAAACACCAGAACATTGAAGATCAGTAGAACATCATAAACTAAGCTTTACTAACCATGTATCGGCTCCAAACTTGAGAAGGCGGAACAACAGGCACATGATTCTGGGGAACTTGCAAGGAAGGATTAGACACAAATGTGGTATTTGATGTCGAAATATCCACAACCCCACCAACATAAGGTGTACCAGAGGACGGCAAAAGAGATATGGCATTGGATCCATAGGGAACATGTGTAGGAAGGAAGCTATTCCCAGTAGAGAAAGGTTGTGGATGGTCAAACTTGCACAGAGCTCCAAATTTACATGTACCATTGCGCATATAATAATCACACAGCGGTTCTCCCTGAAAATTGCATATAGCCTTTTAGTACAAAGTGCAGATGAAGCAACAAATAACAAATAATACGAGATAGTTGGTCATATATAAGAAAACAGAGTACCTGCCGCATGGGTAGCCCCAAAGTATTCAACATGAAATATCTGTACTGTGGATGATGATATCTACAAGATGACCCAAATTTACAGGTACCTGTCTTTACGAAAAACTGCAAAAAGGCACAAAGATTTATAAGTCTGGCACAGTATCTTTACAATACTCACACTAAATAAATATAAGTTGTTTTTCAACTTTTACTATAACATGAACATAGTTTTTTTATCCCAACTAATCAAAAAAATAAGAACTGCCCACTAGTTTGGATCATTTCAGTGCTTTGAATAGCTATCTTGATGATGTTATTGAACATATATTGCAAGGCTAAAACAAATATGAACAAATGAGGTGGCAAATAAAAAGAATATCTGATTACTTCTGGGAACAAAATACTATGTATCAGGAATATTATGGAAGAAGCACTAACTGTGAAATTCAACTACAAAATTAATCAACAAGAATTTGAAACCAATTAGTAAGCAAAAAAGAAAGAATTTAAAAAGTATGAAGTTATATAGACAAGAGTAGACGGTATCCTGAATCTGTCATCTTCTAGCTATATTAAGGTCAATGACATTTCCAAATTGTTCTCTACAAGTCACGGGAATAAGTATGTCGTCAAGTCATGAAAATTAGTGACGTACATGCTAAACCAAGTTTTCAACAGAGTCACAAAAAATGAAAACAACAAACCCCTGCAGCCTCTGTAATTATTTGAAATAGCATTAAGTCCCATCTAAAATTATTGAACAACAGTTTCCAGACTAATTAGCCAGCCTTCAAATCATAATTCAGTGCTAACAGTATCCACCCAGTGCCATCCTTAATATTCTCTATGTATTTTGCCTTCCTCTTGAGTTTCATGTTGTCAAAATAAGATAAGTGCTTGAAAAAAGATCGCTTAGCTATTGCAGATTCTAACCCTTCACCCCAGTGTTTATCGTTTCCCTTTATTCCTATCATCAATGTAATCATTGCCCCTGATTCCCGTCATCAACAGAAGCAATCAGAATATTCTCCTACCAATAATACACCCATCCTATACTGAATAAGGAACACCGAAGCAAGACAAACCAAAATTGATGAGGACATCAGAAGATATTCCAAACCATAAACAATGAAAATCTAGTGGTCCTTGCAGAAATTTCTCCAACAAGTGTTCCATATTGAAGTCCAACTTTGAAACAAATCCAAAAGTTGGTTTAAGTAAACCTTCTCTGATAGATCATCATGCATTTCAACCAAAGAGATACGAATTTAGATTAACCAGGGAGACCCTTAACTGGCTTGCTTTTAAGGTAATATCCGCATCAATTCTAAAAGTTCTTTCCCTCTACGGTCAACACAGAAGTTCAAACTATCCTCACAAACATATCTTACATCTTTTACATAGCAGTTAGTTAAACAACCCACCTCAAATGCAGAGAAATTCCACAAAACAAAAAAAGCACATGATCATTGCTCAGTCTCTACAATCTCATACTAAAATGGGGAAAGAAAACTTTCAGGAGTCTTCTACAGGTCGGAGGGGGAAAAAACAAGGAACATCCTTGAATCAAATTTTCACTTTTATTGGAATAGGTCACCAAATCATAAATCATAGAGTAAGACAAAAACACCCGATCTCCAAATGGAAGAAGAGATTTTTACCTTGCATTCAGGCTGCCCATCTCTTTCTGGGAGTTCATCAGTATCTTGAATCCACTGTAGGGTTATACCAATTAAATCCTAAAGTTCACCCAAAAGATTAACTGGTTCAACAAATTGAGCAGAAGTGTCAATACCTTTTCAACATTAGTTGGATGATTAAACCGGCATCTTCTTCCATAAGAACAGGTTCCATTCTGCATGAAATATAAACAAACAGGTTCACCAGGGCGATCCGGATACTCAACCTCATTCACCGTGCCCCTCTTATCATCGATGGTACGGTCCTCAATTGTCAGCTTCTTCATCGCTTCTACAGGAACCATCATATACGAGACCAACAGAGGAGGATAATCAGCAAAATGTCAAAAAAAAGGAAAGGGATAAAGAAACTAGTCACATTGTCATTTATAGCAAACACCAGGACACAGTTTTCCAATGCTGAATCGCCTCTACCATTACACACCAAGGGGGGGAAAAATGATTATAAAAAATTAAGGATTCCAACAACAAAACTCTGTCCAAACCCAAAACTAATCATCGAGAAACAGGATCAGCATTCAAAGATCACGATCAACACTTAAACACCAGTAAAATGCTTCTATAGTTGAAAAGATCACAGCTTTAAGGCAGATTAAAACACCAACCTAAAACCCCCAAACTACAAACTTACATATAAGAAGACCAAGAAGGAAACTAACAAACAATCATCAAACTCTTAACTAAAATAGAACCCAAAAAAAAATTCCAAAAACCCAACAAGACGATCAGAGCTAACCCAATTTTGACCAATTTAGAAAAAATAATTTACACAAGGCTCGGAAAATAAAATCAAAACAAAAAAAAAAGAAAAACTTTACTGTAGACTGGTTCTTTCCCTGCTGAAGATTGGGAACCTTTAGATGCTCCACCATTCTTCCCCTCTCGGAGATTCTTCATCAGAGATTATTTCTGAGCTTCCCAAAATTAGCAGATTTCGAGAAATTGCAGAGAATTTGATCAAAAAAAGGGGGAATGTGTGTCCGATGAGATGAATACCGTACTCTTTGGGGGAAATTCTCAGTACTAAAAGGTTTCCAACTAAAACAGTAAAATTTATGTAAAGCTTTTATTTCCTATTTTATTTTATTTTATTTTAAAAATCTCTTTAAAATTGGACATTTTTCCGAAGAAAATGTAATTTAGTTAGAGGAGGAAAAAAAAGGTTAAAATTACAGGGAAGGACAGGATGAAGGTCAATAACGTGCTTGCGTGGAAGCTGCAAGAAGGGGTACAATGATAATTTCAAAAAAGGGACCCAGAGGGAAGGACTTGCGAAGAAATCAGGCGCGAAAATCAGAGTGAAATTTTCTACTATTTTTCTTTTCGTTTTAAGGACTTGGAAATTTGGGGAAAAAATTCGTCAGAGGAAATGAAGGCGCGTAGTAATTGGGCTGGCGTGAGGAGCAAGCAGCTCAATCTAAGCCGTTGATCTTTTTGTGTTTTACCGAATACGTTATCAGAACCGTTCAATTCGCTAAAGCAAATCTTCTTTCACAGTCTCCGTACGGATTCTGTGACAGTGTGGGACCCGAAACGAGACTCATGGTAAATGCCAAATTTGAAACTGTGGACTTTAAATTAATGATGGTTTTTTTATTTGTAAAGGAAAAACGAGCAAAATGTATTTTCCTCTTTCTCCTCCGCGTTCACATTTCTTCTTCCAAATAAATAAGGAGTTAGATGGTTCAAATGATCATTTACATTTGGCAAAAAATTTATTTTGATATTTTACATTAACAATTCACTGATTTTGTTCTTTATATATGTATTTTATGCTAATTTAGTTATTTTTACTTTTTTATTATTTACATTTGGGGCTTTTTGGATTGGCCCTTTCTTGGTCAAATCAACGGGGGTAATTGTTGGTAACTTTTAATTTTCAAAAATACTTAAAAAACAAATGATCAAAATAATGTTAAACATATTATTTTAATTTTATAATTAATCATTAAAAAAATAAAAATTATTTTTCCAAAATCTTAGTTATTAATTTTTATTTTGTGGGCCCCATACGTGACTTTTTCTTTATCTTAGTCTCTAATTTTCTTTTTTTGAATTTACCCCTTGGTCTGTAATTTTTTCTTCTTGAATATATAAAAACTTGTTATTAAAATAATATTAAACATATTTTTTTTCTTTACACTTAGTCCGATTTCTTCTTGAATATCGGATTTGGGGATTTTGGGAATTAGTTGGGTGTTTGATCGGGGAGAGAATAAAAAAATTACAGACTAAGGGTAAAGAAAAATAGCAATGATACAGCCAGTGAAAAAGTATAGTGAAAACTAATAATGCAGTGTGTCTTTGCAAATTAAGGGTAGCAGTGTAATTTTCTAACGGAAAGATATAATTTATACGGGGAAGTGGCTATAAAATAGGGAGCCAACAGTCACTATTTATTTCCACTATACATTGTCACTGTACTTATCATTTACCTTAGAAAAAATCACACGTAAGATCCACAGGATAAAAGATAATAACCCAAAATTTAGAAAAACATAATTTTGAATTTTTTAATATTTTTATTTTTAATAATTAATTATAAATTTAATATAGTATGTTTCATATTATTTTAATCAATATTTGATTTTTTAATAGTTTTGAAAATTTAAGAATTAAAAGTTACTAAAAATAACCATGTTGACTTGACCAAGAAATGGTCAACCCGAGAGAACCGCCAAATGTAAATGGTCAAAAAAAATGGCTAAATTAGTGTAAAATACATATATACAGGACTAAACCAGTGAAATATTAATGTAAAGGATCAAAATATATTTTCTAACAAATGTAAAGGACCATTTGAGCAGTTTACTCATAAATAATTATAGATTTGAGGGATTGAAAATAACAATATTTTAAAAAACTGACTTAATATTTCAACGTTTTTGATCGGTGGTCATCCTAATTTTTTTTAAAAATTGAAGAACTTAAAATGAAGAACTTAGGACACGCCCTATTATAACGCTTAATTGTTTTGCATACTTTTTTTAAAAAAAATTCATATACACGATGTTCAATAGATAAGAATGCATAATCAAAAAGGTAGTGATATTGTGATATCAATAATAAGTAACCAAAGCATTTGTTATCCCACTTTCTAAGATTAACCTTGTTTTTATCAAACTCCAATTCAGTGATGTTTTCAGTTATCTCTCTTCTAAGTTCTATCCTTTTGGACGATTATTTTTTCCTTTTACCAAGGAATGAAAACAGAGAATTGCAAAAGTAAGTAGAACATTTTTTCTCCCTGATATTAAGTGAGATATAATCCATTCAAAATCAAACCTTCAAATCACTATTTTTACTTGCCCGAATTTTCAATTCTTGAACACAGAGATATCTCCCAATTAGATAATTTGATTTATTTATTATCTTTTTTTGTTTTTTTTTTCACTATGCGAACTATTTCGAGATTGATTTGGGGTGTTTTCTCAATTATTATTAAATATGGATTCTTAAATTTGAGTGCTTACCATATTTTAGTTCTCTTATGCTATTTGGATGTGATTGTTAAATTTTGGTTACCTATATATGTTACTGATGTAAAGATGAAATTTGAATTTTATTCTTGAAGTTTAGTTGTATTTTGGTTATCGATAGATCTTAGATTTCTTTCTTGTTTCGAAAATTTGAATTTTATTCTTGAAATTTAGTTGTACTTTGGTTACTGATAGATCTTAGATTTCTTTCTTGTTTCGAATTGGATACTCAAAGCCAAAAAGTATTGAGAATACATAATTTGATTTTTAATGTGTAATTGTAATGATAATCAGTGAAACTATTCTATGTAAAGCGTATGAGAAGGATGATGATTATTGATTACGATATTATCTAAGAGGTAGGTAGTTCCAATTAGAGTAGCGAGGGTACGAGAGTTGGAATGTGAAATCTATACTATACTAACCGGAGCAGTACATACAGGGATGTAGCGAGAGTTGGGCAGAGAATTTAACTTCAATCAAAATAAGGATAGTATTTGAAAGAAATGTGAAGATACTAGTCTTGCAGTGTCGCTAGAAAACCGAATGTGATGGAACAAAACCCAATATATTCAGTCCGTGGACTTTTAATTTATAAGCTAATAATAATCCATATGATTAGCCCAACCTTGATTGGTCGATATAAGATACATTGACCTAATACAAAATAATAACAAAGATTGGGCCTTACAATCAGGCCTCTACATACTTTTGATTTTGCCAAGTGTGTGACTTTTATTCAATTATTATGAATTTATCACTCATTTTTATATTAATATGCATATATACTTTTTACGATAAAAGTATCGACAAATCCTAAACTGTTATACTATAGGAAAGTGCAACCCAAACATAACGATTCAACCAAGTTCTTGCCTCTATCAATGAGTCATACGTAAACACATATTATTGAAACTAAGGTGTGAATTGCGAAATTTGATTCTCTAATGCTTGTTGACGACGGACAGAATAAACGCTAATCATCTGTCAGCTTCCATTATTCATCTCTTAAACTAAAATTTTTAGTACCTTGAAGTCCTACACTATGTGATCCGGACTTCAAAAGGACGTGCATGGTTTTTTTTGTCATCTAAGCAAGGACTAATTTGTTCCCTAAATTCAAAACTATAAAATTTTTATTTGAATAAAATCACAAATGAGAAGAATTTTTCGTTTAAGTTTTAAAACATACAAAATTAGTATTAAAGCTTTGTGTCAATATTTGTAATCATTTATTCTCTCTAGCACAGAAAAGTAATCTATATTTAGTTTGACATCTGTAATAAAATAATACAAATTTTAAAACTTGATTTGACTATTTTTATTTTATTTTTGGAACAGAAATAGTATATAAATGTCATAGATCCATTGAAGCGGTATTTTTAACCAGGGGAAAAAAAATGGTTCAAAAGTTTCAAATTTTCTATACTAGCACTATACCCGAGCATTGCTCTAATTCAAAAATAAAATTTTATAATTACTACTAAGAAAATAGTTCCTTTACTTCAAAATAATTGTTTAATTAGGATTTTCATTTGTATTGCCCATCCCTCAATCATTAATTTTATTTTTTAAGAGCACATAGTTATGATCTTAAAAAATTTATTTCCAAGATAATTTCTAAAAGTAATTCACCTTTCAAATTCTTTAATTATTTTGGATTGTTAGTTTCACAATAAAATGGGAGAATCTTGAAATATTTTTAATAATACTAGTACTTACACTGCACGTTGTGCAAATTTATGTGATTTTTTTTTTAAAAAAAATTAAAATTGCAGAGGTTAAAAAAAATAATGTAACATATGCCAAAAAGAAAAAAAAAATCATCAACAGCTACTATGCATAACTGTGTAGTGTTCTTTTGTTGATTATCGATAACTTTACTCCATGACAATACCACCATAAAGGTGGTGGATGAAGGAACTGTCGTTGAATTCACCCCCAAGAGAATATTTATAAAACATACTTAAAACTATTAGCTAGTGGTAAGCAGGGTCGTTCCACAGAAATGGCAGTCAACCACTCAAAATCTGATTAAAGTGCAAGAAAAGGAAAATGAATGTATTGAACAGATTTGTCACTTGAGAGAGTGAGAATAGTCACTTGACAGAGTGAAGAGGCAGAAGGGTCAATCAGCTTTCTACATATGATCCAGTTTTGATTCAAGTAATCCTGTAGTGTATGATTTATTGTTTGATCAGGCACATATATTCTTTACAATCCCTCTCAGATAGAGTAAAAAGTCCTAGATTACTAAATTTTCTACCTCTCAGTCAGAATATTGAGATTAACCTAAGCCATTGAGTTCTTAAACCCCATTGATCACCTTTGCCAATCAACTAACTCTCGTTGGTGATTGAAACCAAAGGGTAAATTTCCTCCTTTGTCATAGACTAATTTAAATACGTTCTCAAGTTATGTTCACCCTCTCAGATCTTCATAACTAAGCATGCTCCATTAGCTAGTTGATCAGTCTAACTAAAAGGTTAATTAAAATATTTAAACTAGAAACAATGCCTCATCAAAGATAACTGAATCAAAATTTTCACATAAAGATAGTAGGGATTGAAACCTTAACTGAGTAAGCTACTCATGTTTATTGAGTTAAACATGAGAGTAACAAAGTACAAAAGACAAGACATAATTCAAGATCAAAAGATTAGAGGATAGAAGGGAAA